CAGGGAACTACTGATGGTTGGGTGATGCCAGGTCTTGTATTCAAGTGGTTTCCTTTGTGGGAGTTCTCACTATTTGATACTCCAGAGGGTTAGTTCTCTGATTATTTAGGGGCTTGGAATCAGTTCTCCCACTCCAAAGGCTCAGGACTTGATCTCTGGTCAGGATCAAAGATTTCACAAGTGGTTTGTTATGGCATTAAGTGAGATTAAAACAAATACCCAAAAACAAGAAACCAAAGATGAACCCCAGATAAATGACAGTTACAAGATCAGGCAAATAATAATTAAAATAATGGAATATTCACACATATATATACACCCATAAGCAAAATCAAAACAGTCCAAGAAAAATAAAGGTCAATAGATTGACCCAGCAAACAAAGGAAAACAAAAATTATATCTAATGGGTAAGAGCTAAGCTAACTAAAGCACAAACTGGAAAACAAAACTAAAGCAAGATGCCAAGTGGGGAATAAAGCAGTGAAAATAAAACTAACAAATATGTTGAAAGGAAAGGAAAGAATGAATAGATATGCAAACTTAAACAGAGGTAGATAAAGGAGATTTATATGTATTAAAGCTTAACTTCAAGGTGAAAAGAACAGTAGGAAAAGCAAACAAAGAATAAATGTAGGAAAATAATAATAGGTTTAAAAAATTAATATTAAAAAAGGAGAAAAAAAAAAAGGGAAAAGGAAAGGGGGGAAAAAAGGAAAACTCCACAGAACTGCAAAAGCCCAATTTAGAAGCAGAGGTTTATAACACGGAAAATCGTGATTGAAAAAAAAATCAAAAGCTTAATTAGATTTCATGATGCCAATAAAATCAACAACTACAACAGGATGGGTTGGGGGGAAAGGAAAGAAAAATGGAAAAAGGAAAAAGAAAAAAAAGTCCAAAAGAAAGTACCGAACAAGTTAAAACGTAAGAATAGTAAATGTTTTGGGGAGTCACTGCTGTCAGAGTCCTTTCCTGCACTGGGAGTCACAGCCCACCTCCCCTCCCTAGGATGCCCTCCAACACTGTGCTGGTCTCTGGACCTGCTGTGGGGGCAGCTCAGATTCTAATCTGGTTTTATTCCTGTGTGTTCTTGCCTCCAATGTCCACAGCTATCAGAACTAGTGTGTTGTCTTTTGTGGGAGCTCTCAATGTCCTTTTATATATTCCATAGACACAAAGTCTGCCTAGTTATTTATGTGAATTTAATCTGCAACTTGTACAGGTGGTGGGAAGGTTTTTGGATCTTCTTCCTTAGTCACCCTGCCCCTGGGTTTCTTTTTTTTTTTTAACGGGGGCGCCAGGACCAACGATCACTAGCTGCCCCACTAGCAAAAATTATGCTTCCGAAATCTCTTGATGTCGATTCCGCACATAGAGCAAACGAGCCGACCTACGTGTGCCACTCACGACAGAAGCCCTTTTTTCAATTGTGGTTTTATTTCCACCTCTGTACCCACCTCTGGGTCGTGCACTGGGGTTTGCTTGTGCAGCTGCCCTGGAGGACTTGGGTCTGTCCCAGAGAGGGCTAATTGCTGAGGCGGTGCAGCTGGTTGGGTCGCAGGGGTTCTGGCAGCACCAAGTACTCAGGGGAGTTGGCGGCTGGGGCAGCAGGAAATATAGTGCTCTAGAAGAGTATGGCAACCAGTAATGGCCAAAATGCTCCAGTATTCTTGCCTGAAGAGTCCCCCTGATAGAGAAGCTTGGCAGGCCACAGTGCACAGGGTCACAAAGAGTTGGACACAACCAAAGCGACCCCGTGTGCATAGTGGCAAGACTTTTTCTGCTTGTGGCAGCTCTGCCCAAGTGAGGGTCTGGCATGAAGGTGGTGCAGCTGCTTGGTTGCAGGAACCGTAGCGGCGCCACGTGCGCAGGTTCACAGACTGCCTCTGCTGCAGGAGTTATAGCCCTATCAGTGTCTTTTTCGAGCCTCTGGTAGCTGGTGATAGAAGGCCTCTTTAGCTAGTCTTTCTCTGTAGCTCCACCCGTTCAGACACTTAGAGGGCTCCCTTGCCTGGGGTCCTTCTCGATAGTTCTGTGCATCAGGCACATAGAGGCTGGGGTCCTACTCTGTAGATCGGTGAGTCAGGCACTTAAACAGTCACCCTGGGTGGCGTCCTCCTCTAGTTCCGGTGCGTCAGGCGCTTGATGTTCATCTCTCTGTTGTTCATCTGCTGATGTGTCTGTAGGGAGAGAGAGGCTATGATGATGTCTCTACCCCCTACACATGACTCAGTAGCATTGCCTTGCTTCCATGGCTGCATGGCTGCCTGGCTGCCTGGCTTTCCTTCACAGGCATTTCCCACCACGATCTCCTCCCTCACATCCCCTCAGTCCATCTGTCCGCAGTCAACAGCAGCCCTTGCCCTGGGATTGCTCCACAATCCCTAGGTTCCAGCTTCCAGCCTCTGCACCTTCTAGGGGACCTGTGTCCTTGTCCGGGATGCATATGGCTGCGGCAGGGACTGTCTGATTCTCATTGCACTTAGGCTGCCACAGATCAGCTGTTTCACTCTCATAAATATTTCTCCTTTGTTTCAGACAGTTGCTCCAATGTGTGGATTGGACCCCTGCTTCAGTTCCCCCACCCGCTGCGGGCAGGTCCAGTCCTGCTAACACTCCTGTTTTCCTGCCGAGTTCCTTCATCCTACCGAGTTTTTGTGTGGTTCTGTGCATTCTTTCCTGGTGGTCTGGTACTCCTGTCTGCTCTCAGCTGGTGTTCTCCATACACTTCTGTTTCTGAAGGTATATTCCTGATGTACCTGTGGAGAGACATGTACTCCACATCCACCTACTCCTCCGCTATCTTGTTCTCTCTTCCTAATTGCATTCTTATAATCAAAGACAATGCTTGAAATTCAAAAAATTCTATGACTTTTCATACTTAAATTTTAATAAAAAGTTTCACACTGTTAGGCTTTTTTTTTTCATTTATTTTTATTTAGTTGGAGGCTAATTGCTTTACAAAATTGTAGTGGTTTTTGTCATACATTGACATGAATTAGCCATGGATTTACATGTATTCCCCATCCCGATCCCCCCTCCCACGTCCCTCTCCACCCGATTCCTCTGGGTCTTCCCAGTGCACCAGGCCCGAGCATTTGTCTCGTGCATCCAGCCTGGGCTGGTGATCTGTTTCGCCCTAGATAATATACATGTTTCGATGCTTAGGCTTGTTTTTGATAGGTTATAAGATTAATATCATTAATGCAAGATCATTTTAATCAGGGGTCAGGAAACCATGGCCCTCAAGTCAAATCCAGTCAGTCATCTGGTTTTATAAATAACATTTTACTGGAACACAGATACGTTCCTTTATTTGTGTGTTGTCTACAGCTGCTTCCACAGTGTACCACCAGTGTTGATTATTTCAGCAGAGACAGTGTGTCCTGCAAAGCCTAAAATGTTGGCTAGCTGACTCTTCACAGAAAAAGGTGGTGACCCCTGATTTCAGTAATTAGCGTTAACCTTCATTATTTTCTTTGTTCAGCTACAGATTGAGAGGCACTTGAACACTTGTATAAGTGTTAAATCATACTTTTAATTCGCTGAGGAGGTAACTACTTAAATCCAGTAAAGTGAGCGGTTTTCTTATAATGTGAATATAATCACACCAATGAATCTAATCTGAAAACAAAGTTTTTTTTTTTTTAACCAGTTAGATATATAGATAAGAAGACAGAATAGGATAGATAGAAGGTTAAATAAGGGGTTAATTTTTCTTTCTATACTTTCTATCTGATTGTATTTAATCCTTCCAAAGCGTTTTTTCTCTTTTTATTGAGGACCAACTCTGACTTTAACTGTGTATGGAAGTGTTTGGAGCCCTAAGCTTTACAAGAGACTCTGCAGTATAACCCATCCTCGATCCTTAAGACTATAGAGTGTAGTCTGGATAGCCAGAGGCCAGGTGGCCGGGGAACCACCTGGTCAAGGAAGCTTTTCCCAAAACAAGTTTAAGGATTCCTTCAACTTGATTTCCTCTAGTTGGAGTTCTTTACCTCCCCTCCCTGTTTTCCTTTCTTGTTTTGTTTTTATATTTATTAAGAATATATCCTATCTTATATTTAATATCTGGGTAATATTTTATCTCAGATGGTAGTATATGTCATTTGTTGTTTTTCTTTGCAACCATGTTTTTTTTTTTTTTCAGTTTTCCTCTTTGTTTTTTCTTCTGTTTTGTATTAGGGCTGGTATTTTAGTTTTTTTATGAAAATTCTGAATCGTATAATGGCTTTCCCTTGTATATACACACTTATTTGCCTCCCTGGACAAACTTTGATGTAATGCCTTTTAGAAAGGGAAATTGTTTATAGTTTTCCTTGTGATATAGAAAATGTTAATAGTCTATAAGATTTCTAGGATTTAAATAGGAATAGTACAAACTATAGTTATAGTACATTGTAACAGAATTTCTTTTTATCCTTTACCTTGGTCAAGATTTTTACTAGCTGCCTAGCCTTTCTCATTTGCCTCTGGATCTTTCTTACAGTGTATCTGGGGTATAAAGATTCAGATCATTTATTGGATGAGTAAAGGCTAAAGGACTAGAGAAGAGAAAATCTCGAAACCTTGAGGCTGATGATATTTGTGTTTTAACTTGAGAATTATATAATTGTAAATGGAATTAGGTTTTCCATTTATTTGCAAAGTCTCATGAGTCTTGTCCATTATTCTGAGCAATGTTTAACAGTATTTTTGAGAAGTTTTTTTAAAAAATTAGATTTAAATAAAGTTCTGTATGATTTTCAATTTAATTTATTGCACAATTTATTGTCTGCTATTGTCTACTCTGTCTGCTAGTGAATATACTGTACTTTAATATAAGCTAGAACAAAGCTATAAAAAACATCCATTTTTGGAAAGTTTCACTTGTTCTGCGGCAGGGCCTTTCATGGCCACTTGTCATTATAGGAAATCCCCTTCTTGGCACTTAGGTTAATTGACTAACTGTGTGCTGCCACAGTGCAGTGTAGCACAAGAAATACTGATTTCCAATCTAGCCTTTTATTGGAAGACTGTGAAGAAGCTTTTCTGAAAAACCCCGAAGGCAAACCACGATTAATTTATCATCGTTTGGAGGATGGGAAAGTCAGTTCTGACTCTGTCCAGCAACTGATTGATCAAGTTTCTAACCTGAACAAGACCAGCAAAGCCAAGGTAAAATTCATATGTTGTTTTTAAGAACATGCTTGGGAGAGCAGTGTGCTGGGACAAAAGCTATGAGGTGGGAGTGAGCCTGGCATGTTTGAGGAAAGGAAGGAAGCTTGTGTGGCTGGAGCAGAGTGAGTGAGGGGACGTGAGTAGGAGAGGTCGCAGGGGGCCAATCCTGAAAAACCTTGGTTTTTCTCACTTAGAGCGAGGTGAGGAGCCACTGAAGGACTTTTAACCAAAGAGGAAGAAATGCTGTTGTGACAAGGCTGTCTTGGGCCGCTGTGTTGAGAACTGACTGTGGTTTGAAGGGAGGATAGTGGAGGGGGACAGAGCTGGAGAGCTGCTGCTGTTATCCAGATGAGAGTTGCTGGTGGCTCAGACCAGAGGATGTGATGAGAAGTTTTAGGATTCTGGATAAGTTTTGACAGAGTCAATAGATTTCCTAACAGATTAGTTGTGGACTATGAGAGAATGAGACATGAATAGTTATACATACCTAAAAAGTGTATGATATGTAAGTGGACAAATCAGAATCATTACTGTGCGTTTTTCTCAAGCACGGAGTCCTTCTATCTATTGTTGTCCAAGGATCAGTGTAAGGAAGAGCCTTTTCCTGGTAACCCTTTCTGACGGCATTGGGAAAAGCCAAAAACTGATGATGAGTAGGAGAAGGATTTGATCATCCCTAGATGCAAAGCAGAATGTATTTTATTTTATTTTATTTTTTTCAGAATGTATTTTAGAATAGAGATCACGGGCTTTGCATTACTGCATGCTGAGATAACTTGGTAAATGTTCATAGTTAATGATAAGAATACAATTAAACAACTCTAGGGTTTTCACAAAGTTTCTGTTTCTGTATGTCCAGCCAGAAAATAAGATCAGATGTGAATACAAGCATTTTTCTTGAGGTCAGCATAACACAGTGAAGAGTCTAAGAAAAAAAGAGAAAAAAAAGAGTACATTTTTATTATTGTTAATCTCCAGAGCCATTTCATCCTATTTTAATTATTTTAGTACCAGCCTACATTACTAGATGCTACAAGGGAAGTTACTTATTCTGTAGATACTGCTTTTAAAAATTAGTACACCCCAGGTTGAATTTTTTTATATAGGAGTCACACTCTCTCTACTATGATTATAAATTTAAATGTAGGCTAAACTTCTTTGCTTTGTTTTGTAGAATTGTAGCTTTACTGGCATAAAGATGGATTTTGAATCTTATGTATGTTGAATGGTACAGAAATACATAAGATGAAATTAGCTGTTTAATTTATGTGTGTGTGACTGTTTGTTTAAGAAAAAAAAAAAAAATATGCCCTTTATTCAGGACATCAAGAGAAGGGACATTCAGCAGAGTGAGTAAAACAATAAAGGCTGGTATTTGGCTTTGCCTAGCTTTGCAATGTTCATAACCCAAAAGGTGAAGTGATTAGCAAGGTATCTACAAGTTTTTACCTGAAACAAAAGTATGAGAATTCAGCCATTGGAGTTTTCTTGGAAAAAAAAAACAAAAAACTATTCCTTTCACCTGGGGCTAAGTCCCTCAGCCAAACAGGGAAGGAACTGAGAGTGGCAGTTGTGGGGGTACCTTGTCCTCTGCACCCCCACCTGCTCCCCAGGTGAAGGCCCCCTCAGCCTTGGCACATGGCCCCCTCCCCCCACCACTCCTCTGGATCACTCTATAAATAACCCACAGATTTGCTGAGCACCTAGGCCACAGGTCCACAGAGAAAAGCATAAGGAGCCCCATTAACTCCCACTAAAGAAAGGCTGGTTCCCCCTGACCACAACCAGGGACCCCAACCCTTCCACGTTTCCTCAGGTTACCCTGATTACCCTTCCAAAGCAAAGAGGCAGAAAGCAAGCAACATTCAGAGAGGGCTTTTATATGAGCCTACATGTTGAGGTTGCAGGACAAGAAGAAAGAAACAAAAATTATTTCCCCCGAGGCTGTGTGATAAAAAGAATCAAGCCAAACTTAGGAGTACTTTCCACACGTTCTGCTCCACATGATAAAATCTGCTTCTGCTTGCAGGCAGAGATGGAGGCTCCACGGCCTCGCCGCACACCCGGGGGTGTAGACGCTGCACCAGGGCCCCAGCACATACCATCCCACCTATCCAGTTCCTTAGTAGGCTCCTGCTCTCTTGTTCACAATGGTCAGCTGTGTGCATCAGTCCAGACAAAGCGGACTTTCAGTGGTGATACCAGGTCCCGGACAGAGTTTTGGCATCACCAATACCAGTCACTTTTCCAGATAGACACATAAACCAAAAAAAAAAAAGCATACTTTTTGTTTATTTGCAACTTGTTCACACAAAATCCCTTGCGTGACCTTAGACAAGTTATTTAACTTGCCTCAGTTTCCTCTTCTAGAAAATGGAGAGTGTAACAGTGTCTCCCTTAAAGGGTTGTGAGGCCAAGTGAGCTATACACATAGAGCACTTAGAACAGTTCCTGACACATAAGCCTGTAAAAATGTTCAGTACCACCTCCTCCTCCTGTTAGTATTGCTTTTTCTTGTTGTTAAACTTCTTTTTATTCCCCCCTAGATCATTGATCACTTGGGAGATCCTGCAGAAGGAGTCTATAAAACCTATATTTATGTAGAAAAGATTATTAAACAGGTAAATATGCATTCCCTGTAAGATTTCATCTCAAATATCTTGACTGATTTCAATAAAATTGAGTTTTCCAGAGAAAATCACTTTTTGCTTTTTTGAAAACAATACCTGGGTTGTGTGCCCTTGTTTCTGGCAAGAGTCCATCCTGTAGTATTATTGTGACATTCCCAGTACCGTGTATCTGTATCTCTCAGCTCACAAACAATTTGATTCTTTAATACCCATCAGGTATAAAATGGATTACAAAAGTGGTAGGTAAAAAGCAAGTATTTGAGGGATAATGTTCATCCTGTTCAGTAGAGAGTCTTCTCAGATTCTTTGTGCACCTTGAGTTTTTGTAAATAGAAAAATTCAGGATGGATTTTACTATCTTCCTAACCATAGAGAGGAGTGAAAACACACCTCTATGTGTCTGAGGTCATGGATCACAGAGACATCTCAAACTAAAAGTTTCTATGATATCTCAGTATTATCTTGAAACTTTATATGAGTTAAATATTTTGCTTGATATTTACCTGTCTTTAATATTAAAAATCATTTAAAATTATGTATCAGCAAAAATGCTAGTAATGATAATAAAAAGAAAAAGTATTCCCTATCTTCAAGTAAAATGGGCACAAGAAGATGTTTAGCCTGTGTTTATCCCTACCTGCTGACTTCTCCCTCAGGCTACTGGGAACCCTATTTGAGAAGTAAGGGTTTAGATTACTTTTTTAAAATTAACTTGTGTTAAAGTATGGAGATTTGTTATTAGAGAAAAAGAGTGAGCCCTGAAATAAGAGGAATTAAACAGAATAAATGGTAATAAATGAAAATGGACATACTCACCAACTTTACCACTTGTAGGACAATATATTTTCAGTGATTAATATAAAAAGTAGATATCACAGCAGAGATATTTAATATCAAAAACTCTATTTTAGTAATTAAATTCTTATAAAAATGTAAAGCAGCATATATCTTAGATATTAGCACAGTCTTTAAAATTGTTCACTAGCCAAATACAACCCTATTGTGTAACATTTTCAGAAACCAGATCCCCTCTAACTTTAGTGAAAGAGAGAGGTCTTTGTTTTTATTATTTTAATATTTCTTTGTGTTGTTCTGTTTGTCACTCAGTCATGTCCAACTCTTTGAGATCCCAGGTACTGTAACCCACTAGCTTCCTCTGTTGATGGATTTCTCCAGGCAAGGATACTGGGGAGGGTTGCCATTCCCTTCTTCAGGAAATCTTCCTTATCCAGGGATTGAACCTGGGTCTCCTGCATTGCAGGCAGATTCTTTCCTGTCTGAGCTACCAGGGAAGCCCTAATATTTCTTTCTCTTTATTTTTAAACTATTACTTATTTTTTTAGTTATAAATTGATCCCTGGAGGTACCATAAATGGCTATAGGTTTGAACTTGCTGTCCAAGGTAGATGAGGGCCACCTTAGGCCTGTGTACTGACTATACTGTACAAGGTCTTCACTTCCTTCATTCACTTTTGTGTGCTTGCTCTTGGTGTTCAGGACATCCTGGGCTTTGAAAACACAGACCTGGACACCAAGGATTTGGGCAGTGAAGATTCTATTCCAGAAGAAGATGATTTTGGTGATGTTCTATGGGACATACATGATGAACAAGAGCAAATGGAAGCTTTTCAGCAAGCTTCAAATTCAGCCCATGAGTTGGGATTCGAAAAAGTAAGCATTTGGTTTACAGTTCCAACAAAAATCGGTTGCACTTAAAAGCTGTATAATTGTGGTTTAATCTAATTATAGTCAAGGTTAAGGATTGTGTTAATAACTCCCTCATGGCTTAATTACTCATGTTGAGTAATTACTCATGTGCTTAGGTTTGTATCATGTGAAAAAAAGTGAGATTCAAATATACTTATGAACATCAAACATGTTTAGTTAAAGATTGTGCTTGTGTGCAAAGTCACTCAGTCATGTCTGACTGTTTGTGACCCTATTTGCCATAGCCCACCAGGCTCCTCTGTCCATGGGATTCTTCAGGCAAGAATACTGAAGTGGGTTGCCATGCCTTCCTCCAGGGGATCTTCCCAACCCAGGGATTGAACCCATGTCTTTTATGTCTCCTGCATTGGCAGATGGGTTCTTTACTACTAGTGCCACCTGGGAAGCCCTAGTTACAGATTAGATTTATCAACTACATGTTTATTATGCTACCATCTGCAATCTCTAAGATAATATAGCTAGGAAACCTGATAAAAATAGTAAGGCTATCTATTCTTCTAGTTCCTAGAGGAATCAAAATATCAAACATCCAGAAAACAAAGCAGAGTAGTTAATGCAATAGGCAGATCTGTCCTTCAGCATCTTTAAATATCTAAGCAAATAAACAAGACTAGAAGTGTACAAAGAATCTTCAAGTTTAAAAATCACTTAATATTTAAAAATTAATAAAAGAATATCTTAAAGAATATTACAGTAACTGTTACTAACAGCTATGTTTTATAGAATTTTTAATGGCTTTTATAATTTAGATTGTCAGTTTTATGTCTTGGTTCCACTGTTTCCTCACTATGGCTTTTGATCAAGCTACTTAGCTCTAAGCTTTGACTTTCTTGTGTATAAAATGAGGATAACTAGTAGAACCTACCTCACATGGTTGTTGGGGGTACTAAACCAGATCTTGCACATAAAGCAATTGACACAGTACCCATCACATGGTAATGTTAAATTGTTATTTCATAAGGAAGGCAAGATGTCACTATTTTGTAATTGAAGAACGTAAGGTTCAGTTTATAGTTTGCATATGAGCCCACAGAGTGTAGATTGCAGATGTAAGGTTTTAACCTAGGTCTTCTGGCTAGAAATCCCATGCTTTCTTCTGTGGCAAGGAGTCTTAATGTGGGAAACACAGGTCTATAACAAGACTTTGTGTACATGCTCAGTAGTATCTGACTCTTTGCTACCCTATCGACTGTAGCCTGCCAGGTTCCTCTGTCCATGGGATTCTCCAGGCAAGAATACTGGAGTGGATTGCCATTTCCTCCTCCAGGGGATCTTCCTGATTCACAGATTGAACCCAGGTCTCCTGAGTCCCTGCATTGGCAGGCAGATTCTTTACCACTTTAAGCCACCTGGACTTTAAGTGGGGCCATGAACTAAATTGTTAGGTCATACAACCTAAATACAACATAAATCAAATAAGCCCTTTGTTTCTTGAGAAGCGTCATTTCTATCAGAAATATTTGAATTCCTGGGAAATATGATATGACAAACAGGAAAACTGATTGAAAAACTATACTAAGTAATTATTTATTGTAATTTCTAGAAATTTCTGCTACCCTAAAGCTCACACAAAACTACTTATTACATATTCTTTTGATTCCTCATCAGTTATCATTTACACCACTGATACACTTAAACATCCTAACCCCCAAGATGACTTTGAAAACTCCTTTATGACAACTGAGATATTGCAGTTTTCTGAGCAAGTTCCTTTTCAGCTCTGAACCAGGTTTTCCTATCTGGGGAAGGCCTCAGAAATAAGAGTTCTTGGGCTTTGCATAGAATTCACTCAATTTCAAAAAGGTCCTAGGTGGCCTGTCCTAACTTGATTCTCTGTAGCAGGTTCAGTGACTCCAAGGCCTCAGATAAGACCTTCTCATTGTTTCTCAGGAACCCCTGGAAACTGAGATGGTCTTCAGAACAGGTGTTTTTCTGATCAGGAGATATAGGATGCCTGCTGATGATTCCCTCAAGGTCTTCTCTGGTTCAGGAGCTCAGGGTAATACAGTAGCCTCCCTGCAACATTCTGCAGAACATCTGAATGGTGCAAAGCCCCACAGTGATCTAAAAGGCTGCCCCTCATCCATTAATTTACATTAATACTGTAGCAGAAGAAATTGGGGCCCATTCTTAGCTTACTCCTTTGGACATATTTAACCAAACATAAAAATAAGCAATTATGAGGGTAATATTGATTAAAAGTAGATTTCATTTTTTTCTTGCAGCTTTTCTCCACTGATTTCAGAGGATAATTGGAAATTGATCCTATTTAGCATTTGAATAGGCATGTTCTTCCTCACAATTTACAATTTAAATTCATTTTTATTTCTAGTACTACCAGCGCCTTAATGATCTTGTGGCAGCACCAGCACCAATTCCACCCCTTCTTGTATCCGGAGGACCAGGCTCTGGAAAGTCCCTTCTTTTATCAAAGTGGTATGATGCAGTGCAATTAAACAGTTATTGTGGCCAGCATTTGAACTACTGAACTCATTCAACAAAGTGAATTATTGCATGTCTACCTTACTGCAGGGCCTGTATAGAATATTAACAAAGCAAAAGGAGTAAAATAACAGACTCATGCCCTGATAAATATACAACTTGAATGTTAGAGAGAAGATATAGAATGAGAAAGAAATAGCATTTGTGATCGTGTACATAAATTATGTTGTTGTTTAGTCATTAAGTCTGACTCTTTTGTGACCTCATGGATTGTAGCCTGTCAGGCTCCTCTGTCCATGGGAATTCCCAGGCAAGAATAGTGGAGTGGGTTGCCATTTCCTTCTCCAGGGGATCTTCCCAACTCAGGGATCGAACTTGCACCTCTTGAGTCCCCTGCACTGGCTGGCTGGTTCTTTACCACTGAGCCACCAGGGAAGCCCACATAAACTGTATAGGTCAGAGCTAAGTGAGTGGTCAATATCAATATCAACAACCTCAGACGTGCAGATGACACCACCCTTATGGAAGAAAGTGAAGAGGAACTGAAGAGCCTCTCGATGAACGTGAAAGAGGGGGTGAAAAATCTGGCTTAAAATTCAGCATTCAGAAAACCAAGATCGTGGCATCTGGTCCCATCACTTCATGGCAGATAGATGGGGAAACAATGGAAACAGTGAGAGACTTTATTTTCTTGGCCTCCAAAATCATTGCAGATGATGACTGCAGCCACGAAATTAAAAGACGCCTGCTCCTTGGAAGAAAAGCTATGACCAACCTAGACATCATATTAAAAAGCGGCATATTAAAAAGAGACATTACTTTGCCGGCAAAAGTCCATCTAGTCAAAGCTATGGTTTTTCCAGTAGTCATGTATGGATGTTAGATTTGGACCATAAAGAAAGCTGAGCACTGAAAAATTGATGCTTTTGAACTGTGGTGTTGGAGAAGACTCTTGAGAGTCCCTTGGACAGCAAGGAAATCAAACCAGTCCATCCTAAAGAAGACCAATCATGAATATTCATTGCGAGGACTGATGCTGAAGCTGAAGCTCCAATACTTTGGCCACCTGATTTGAAGAACTGACTCACTGGAAAAGACCCTGATGCTGGGAAAGTTTGAAGGCATGAGGAGAAGGGGATGACAAGGGATAAGATGGTTGGCATCAACAACTCAAAGGACATGAGCTTGAGCAAGCTCTGGGAGTTGGTGATTGAAGGGAAGCCTGGCATGCTGCAGTGTGTGGGGTCACAGAGTTGAACTGAGCAGCTGACCTGAACCTGAGGGAGTGGTCAGTGTGACAGGGAATTAGGTGAATCATAGAGGCATGTACCTTTATTTTCAGTTACTGGGCTCATCTTTAAAGATTCGTTGGGATTTTAAAGATTTGAAACAAGGCAAAGACTATTTAGAGTGAAATAAATCATAAAGAATATAAAAATAAAGGATAATCTTTACTATGAATGTAAAACTAGTTCTTTAAATTATGGACTAAGGTTCATTTAAGCTGATAAACTCTTACTTTAGTTCATCATGTTATTTAAAAACAAGAGGTAAGACCATTTTCTTTCATTCATAGTTATTATTTACATTGAGGAGTTATCGTATGTTATTTCCTTTTTATTGCCCTTTTATTCAAAGTTATATTTCAAAATATTATTTTTGTGCTTACCATAGAAACTTCTTTTTTCCTAGGTTAATGTTCATTTTACTAATACTTTAACCTCACATGTATAGTGTTTTGATGTACATTAGTCACATCAATTTGTAAGTAAAATGAAGTTTTAACTTTTAAAGGTTTATTTAAAAGAATCTAAAAGTGGAAATTTCCCATATTAATTCAAAATTAACTGACTGTGTAATTACTAACAGGTAGCAGTTGATGCTTAATGCATTGTGAATTCTTTTTTGTTGACAGTAAAGGAGGTTTATCAGTCTTACAAAAGGTCTTTTTCTTTCAGGATCCAATTACAACAGAAGAATTCCCCTAACACACTAATTCTTTCTCATTTTGTGGGGAGGCCCATGTCAACCAGCTCAGAGGCTTCCTTGATTATTAAACGACTGACTCTAAAGGTAGAATATACCATTTTTGGAGTTACTACAACTTTTATTTAGATTCAGAAGTTTCTGGCCCGAGGACCTGATGATAAACTAATTTTCAGTATTACCCATTTGTTTTGGTTTTGCATAAGGTTAAAAGTATATTCAATGTTATTGGGTCCTTCTGGTGACAATTTCGGTTTAAAATGCAGAGATAGAAATATTTCTCACCAGCTGTGATAAAAGTGTAGCTACTTAATTTGTATGTGTTCTCACCTTGTAGTTGATGCAGCATTCTTGGTCAGTATCTGCTCTGACATTGGATCCTGCTAAGCTTTTGGAAGAATTTCCACGTTGGCTGGAAAAACTCTCTGCCCGTCATCAAGGCAGCATCATCATCATTATCGATTCTATAGATCAAATTCAGGTATGTTTGCACTTTGTAACCTGCTGATACACTCAGAAAGAGACAAAAATATCAGTAATGACAGATGTTGAAATCATGTTTGTGAGAAAAAAATGTTGATTTTGTTTTTTATTTCTGCTTAATTTATAGAGAGGGAGCATGTGGATAATACAGACACACACATACATATATATATGCCAGTAGACACTAGTATCTTGTTGGAAAGGACAAACTATATTTTCACAATTAGCAAATATTGTTCATTTTGACATAGTTTTAGGGCTTTGACATTTCCTTACATGCCCAGAATTTGGATCAGTGATGGTAGGGTTTTGCCACTTGTTCTTCTAATATTCTGAGATAAATAATCCCCAAATAAGATTTTACCCTTAATAATAATGAGAAATATAATGAGAATTTTATTTTAATTGGAAAGCTTTTGAAATATTTTAAATTAATAGATGGAATTTTGTTCTTATATTTTTAAGCAAGTTGAAAAGCACATGAAATGGCTGATAGATCCACTGCCTGTGAATGTAAGAGTAATTGTTTCTGTGAATGTGGAAACATGCCCTCCAGCATGGAGGTAAGCTGCCCACATTAGTTATTTCTGGTTACATGAAATATTTTAAGTAGAAAGAACGGTTTTTGCTATGTGATTATTCCTCATGTTTTTCATATAAGTGGGAGTGAGGACAGGGAGAAGTGGGCAAATTCAGGAAAAGGATGCAAGCTATAGCATTTTGTGGGAAGTTAGATCTGAGATGTGAGGGAGAAGACTAGGATGGCCCCCAGGTTTCTGGCTTGAGAAATTAAGTAAACTGTTGTTCCATAAACTAAGATGGGAAACACAAAGGACAGGCAGGTTTGTGGAGGAAAGGTCATGAGTTTTGTTTTCAGACATGGTTTGTTTGAGTTGTCAATTATAGCTCCAATTGGTGATTTCTGGTAGGCAGTTAAATTTATGGGTGAGGAAAATAAGGGAAGAGCTGGGCCAGGAAAAATAAGACTAGACACCTGTGATCCTGAAATGCAAGTCCAATACTTAAAAAGGGATGCAGTGGTTGAGTTCTGTGAAGTGGTGTTTCTCAATCTATTTTTGTCTCCCTACCCCAGGAGCCTTTTTAGTAATTTTCTTCCTAATCACCTCCCTACCAAGAAATTTTAATATCACACATATACCATAAATAAATTCATGAATGTAAACAGATATATGCGTATTTGTTGTTCAGTTGCTAAGTCATGTCCAACTCTTTGCAACCCCATGGACTGCAACACGCCAGGTTTCCCTGTCCTTCACCATCTCCCGGAGTTTGTTCAAACTCATACCCATTGAGTCAGTGATACCATCAAACCATCTCATCCTCTGTCTCCCCCTTCTCCTCTTGCCTTCAGTCTTTTGCAGCATCAGGGTCTTTTCCAGTAAGTTAGCACTTTCCATCAGGTGGCCAAAGAATTGGAGCTTCAGCTTCAGCATCAGTCCTTCCAATGCATAGTCAGGGTTGATTTCCTTTAGGGTTGACTGGTTTGATCTCCTTGCTGTCCAAGGACTCTCAAGAGTCTTCTCTGGCACCACAATTCGAAAGCATCCATTCTTCAGCACTCAGTTTTCTTGCAAAGATTAAAAGTATGCTCAGTTCAGTTGGGTCCTTTTGGTGATAATTTTGGTTTAAAATGCAGACATAGAAATATTTCTCACCAGCTGTGAGAAACATGACTCATATCCATACATGACTATTGGAAAAAGCATAGCTTTGACTATATGGACCTTTGCCGGCAAAGTGCTGTTTCTGCTTTTTAATATGTGGTCTAGGTTTGTCATAGTTTTTCTTCCAAGGAGCACGTGTAATTTTGTGGCTGCAGTCACTGTCCACAGTGATTTTGGAGCCCAAGAAAATAAAACCTGTCACTGTTTCCACTTTTTCCCCAGCTATTTGCCATGAAATGATGGGCCCATATGCTATGATCTTCTTTATTTGAATGTTGAATTTTAAGCCAGCTTTATCACTCTTTCACCTTCCTCAAGATGTTCTTTAGTTCCTCTTCGCTTTCTGCATTAGGGTGGTGTCATCTGCATATCTGAGGTTATTGATATTTCTCCTAGCAATCTTGATTCCAGCTTGTGAGTCATGCAGCCTGGCATTTTGCATGATGTACTCTGCATATAAGTTAAATAAGCTGGGTGACAATATACAGACTTGATGTACTCCTTTCCCAATTTTTAACCAATCTGTTGTTCCATGTCCAGTTCTAACTGTTGCTTCTTGACTTGCATACAGGTTTCTCAAGAGGCAGATAAGGTGGTCTGGTATTCCCATTTCTTTAAGCATTTTCCACAGTTTGTTGTGATCCACACTGTCAATGGCTTTTTAGCCTAGTCAATGAAACAGAAATAGATGTTATTCTGGAACTCTCTTGCTTTTTCTGTGAGCCAACGGATGTTGGCAATTTGATCTCTGATTCCTCTGCCCTTTCTAAATCCAGCTTGTACATCTGGAAGTTCTTGGTCACATACTGTTGAAGCCTAGCTTGAAGGATTTTGAGCATAATCTTGCTAGCATGTGAAATGAGTGTAATTGTACAGTAGTTTGAACATTCTTTGGCATTGCCTTTCTCTGGGATTGGAGTGAAAACTGACATTTTTCAGTCTTGTGGCCACGGCTGAGTTTTCCAAATGTGCTGGCATACTGAGTGCAGCACTTTAACAGCACCATCCTTTAGGATTTGAAATAGCTAAGCTGGAATTCCATCACCTTCACTAGCTTGCTGGGGAGGGGAAATCTTACGCTTTTTATGTATAAAGCACAGATTTGTGGTTTATAAAAAGCATAAGATTTCCCTTCTCCAATGAAGAATTTCAGCACTTCATTGAGAAAGGATGTTATAGGGCGATTAAATTTGACTGAATTACAAGTCATGTTTGGTCAAAGACTGTGTCTGGCACTGTTCCTCATAGGTACCAATACCCATGTTATTTTACTGATCATATACAACATAGAACTAGAAATGTTTTACCAGTTTACTGTCAATATATAAGCTTTTATCTTATAACAGTGTTTGTTGTGATTAGTTGCTAAAAGTAATGACATGCATGTTCTAACATGTATAAAGGAAATAACATTACTTAATATGTTTAACAGAAATTAATTTTATGAAGGTAGTATAAAAAATTAATTCTTATAATGGACTTTGATTTGTATTATGGGAAGATTACAGCTTTGTTGTTTTATTAGAAAAGAATTTCATTTTCCTTTTTCTTTAAATAAAAGGCTGTGGCCTACTCTTCATCTTGACCCTTTAAATCCAAAAGATGCAAAATCTATTATAATTGCAGAATGCCACTCTGTAGACATTAAATTGAGTAAAGAGCAGGTAAGTATTTTTAATTTTTCTGTTCTCTTTTACTCTCTATAGCTTTCTTTATTTAAAAAAAATACCTTATATGAGACTTAAAATTCAATGTAGGAACTCTATATGGTTCCAGGGAAAATTGGAATTTAGTTATTACTTTGTTAAATGCATTTACCATTAAACTAATAACAGATATAGAACAAGCAATAAAAAAAGACTTTGGTCTTAAGGCTTACTTTACTATATTATATTAAGCAGTATTTTAAAAGTGAAAAAGCATTTGTATGTTGACAGCACTTGTGGTTTACCACAACACGGCAGTGATGCCATTGATGAGGTGGCAGGAACTGTGTTATTTCTGCAGGGCCATTGGCTGATGGTTCAGTTGTAAAGGCCACTTAATTCCAGGGTGGTTTTGTATTTTTGTTTTGTTTTGTTTTGTTTTTTTGGTTAACTGGTACAGGAGAAGAAGCTAGAACGACACTGTCGTTCTGCTACAACCTGCAACGCTCTTTACGTCACTCTTTTCGGCAAACTGATTGCACGGTAAGTGGTAGTTATTTTATGTCATCTTCAGCAATTTTGTGTTTGCTGCAGAATGCTTCCTCACTGTGCGAAACAGAACTGATCATTATGGCAATCTCTCAGGCCACTAAGATTCTGGGGTTCTAACTGTGATACTGTAACTTGACTGTGATACTGTGACTTGACTGAAAATTGCTAGCCCTTGAATATCAGAACTTGTTGGATATATTTGTCTGGTTTTCATCACACTAACCTTTTCTCAACTTGAGGCTGCAAAAGAAGGCCACCTTTGTTCTAAATTGTCACCTTGAGGCCCCTAGTTTTGGGAAAGTGAGGAAGCAAATGAGGCATAAAAAATGTTATTTCAGGCGTCTTTCAGTATTGGTATATGATAGGTATATTGGTAGGAATTTTTAAGTGTCTCTGTTCCCACATCCTGATAAACATTTCATCTTACAGCAGAGACTTCTATTTTAGACATTCTCTGTAATGTGCCTTTATATACACAGTAGAGTTTTACTACTTTTACTTCTTCAGGACAGCCTCACCTTGTCTGTTTGCAACCAGAGGTAAAAAAAAAAAAAAGACTCAATGCTTGTTTTGGTATTCATCAGAGTAGGTTGTAATCCTAGCACAATTCATTTTGTGGAAACTGAATCTAATACTATTGTCTCTCAATTTCACATTCTCACCTGAAGCACCAAATTTGAAATGAAAAACATTTTTCAAAACGTTGAATTGCCTATATTCTCACTGACCCCTCCCACTGTCCCCAAAGTTGTGGCAGTGAATCTGAGAATATCAGTGGCTTGCATGAGTACAATTCAAAAGTGTTAAGTCATGCATTTCGTATTTTTTAAGTTATCTCTTTTAAGAGGGAATATGGACCACTTTTTGTTTTTTCACCATTCTTTACATATTAAAAAAAGAAACTACTGGTAAATATTATGTAATGTTTTAAAACAAACCCTATCTACTGTTTTCTTTAAGCTGATGTTTTCCAAATTCTGGTTCTATTTAAATTTAGTTTGCATGGCTAACTAATAGTACTTATTTGTAATTATTTTCTTGCTTCCTGTATGTAGGTGGTGTGCATCTAGATGTACCATGTCTTATTTTTATGTTCCATAGTGTGCAGTAATTACTTGATACATAGTTAAGTCCCAGCATATGTTTATTGCATTGAATTAAATGGTATACTGAAACAATTCTGAAGATTCTAGCAGCCCCATAAAACGAACGTTTTCCTGGGCCATGCTTTATTGAATTCCTATTGTTACCAGTTGAACAGTATAAAAAAAGATAAAGTTGAGCATTGTTTTTATTTACCCCAATTATTCAGTTGTTGGCAGAATGTAAGAAATTAAATTTGTTCTCAATTCCAACAGTGCTGGGAGAGCAGGCAATTTAGATAAAATCCTTCTTCAGTGTTTCCAGTGTCAAGATACTGTTTCATTATATAGGCTTGTTCTGCGATCTATCCAGGAGTCCATGGCAAATGATACAGATAAAGAACTAATGAAACAGGTAAAATGTAATAAACTTATAAAGGGAAGATTATTTTGCCATGTTTGCATCTGTGTGTGAATTGAAGTAAATGGTAAATCCATGTAATGTTAAATATGTTTCAAGCATATACTATACCCACTGCCATAGCATGCTTATGACCAGAAGTGATATCTCAGGGAATCTTCATTTTTCTGATTATCATGGAGATTTTTCATCTTTTCACCCTTCTTGGCTATTCTTGTTTCATCTTCTGTGAATTGCTGGGTCAGGTCCTTTACCCATTTTTTAACTGAGTTGACTTTTTCTTGTTGATCTGTTAGTTTTTATTTTTTTTATTTTTGATCTGTTAGTTTTTAAAGGTTCTGTATATTGAATACAAATTCTTTGTTGTAGAGTTTACAAATCGTTATCTTCCCTGTTCTTGTGTTTTAATCTTATAACATCATTATACAAAGTTTTGTTTTAATAAAGTCAGATTTATCCACAGTTTCTTTTATGGTTTATGCCTATTTATCTTATTTTTTTTAAATCCTTTGCTGTCATAAAAGTGATTTCATATTTTTCCCTTCAAAATATTTTATAATTTTGTTCTTCATGTTTAAGTCCTTAATGCATATTACATATTTTTATTTATTTTATGAGGAAGGAATCTACTTTTTTTTTTTTTTTGCCACGCTGCACAGCTTGAAGGATCTTAGTTCCGTGATCAGGAGTTGAACCTGGGATGCTGCAGGGAATTCCCAGGAGCCTAATTCTTAGTCTTTTAAAATATAGCTAGTTAATTGTTCATTTTACTTTATATATCTTTTCTACTGATTTGAAATGCCACCTCTCAGGTATCAAGCTCATATATAAACATGAGTCTGTTTCTAGACTCTTCTGTTCCAATTTACTATTCCTTATCAATACCACTGTCTTAACTATTAGAACTTGAAAGTAAGCTTTGATATTTCACTGGGCAAACCCCCTCTTAATATTTTTCATAGGTTTCTTGGCTCATTTCCCATGCGTATTTTTAGAATTGGCTCAGTAAGTGCCATGGAAATTCAATATGCAATTTTAATTGGAATTGCACTGAATTTAGAGGCTAATTTGGAGAAAATTATCTTATATCTTCTCCTTCATGAAAAGCTAGATAGTTCTCCATTTATTTAGTCATCTTCTTGAATGATTTTCAAATAACATTTTATCTTCTTTCCCATAAAAGTTTTGAACATCTTTGGTTAAAATTTGTTTCTAATGACTCTGTAGTAGTTAAAATAACCTGTAAAAATTTTTTGTTGCTGGTTATTCAACTTAGTTTTTGGAAATTTACTAACAACCTTGCTGAACCCTTATAGTTTTAACCTGGATCCATTTTTGTGTTTATTTCTCAGCTTGGGGGGTTCCTGTAGGTTGGACTTTTCATTCTACCTCCAAGCCCACAAGCTTCCTTGTCTTCTTGTTCTGCTATTTCTCTATATAAATTTTCAGTTTCCTACTTGTTTGGGATACTTGAGGGATTTCCCTTTCTTTTCTGAAGGTTCAATTATGATTTTAGAAATGTTTTGTTACTTGTTGTTATCTGATATTAAGAGGCATTTGTACTAAGAGGGTTGTTTTCTTCCACCATCTTCCCAGAATTGGAACTCTATCATTAGTTTTATTAATACATTTCCTGCAGTTTTAATTTCACTAAACTTTTTTTATATGTATGTTATCTTTGGCATGCTAGATTTTATATGTACACTGTCTTATTCTTGATTAGTGTCTTTTGGAAAGTGTGTTTTATTTTAAGAAATCTGTTTCTTGGTTTATTAGATCACTTGAATGATAAATTTGAACAAGTTAATAAGAATTATGACATTTTAAAAGAATTATGGGCATTTTAATTGCTTAGTTAACAATAGAGGTACTGTATAATCACTGTTAATTTATTTTATCTACCTAGATTCTCTGCCTTGTAAATATTAGTCACAATGGTGTGAATGAGTCAGAATTGATGGAACTCTATCCTGAGATGTCCTGGACTGTCTTGACCTCCGTTATTCACAGTTTACACAAAATGTGTTTGTTGACTTATGGTTGTGGTTTGCTCAAGTTTCAACATCTACAGGTAAATGTTATCTTAGTAAGGTTTTTTCACTTAATGAAATGTCCACATATCATCACATATGTATTATGCTATATAATACCATATTATTTCAAATATTTCAATTATAAGACAAAATTGAAATCTCAAATTTGACATTACAGATATTTTTCCAGTAATTTTAGGTTAGATACAAAATTTGGCTAATATTCTTATGAAGTAAATACCTTTAAGAAATGGCTATTACTTTAAAAGGTAGTTTTTTCTGAAAGAGAAAAACTTTTTTCAACTTTATGTTTCATTGTATTATTGGTATATTACACATGTTTTAAGAGCTTGGGCTCTGTCACTCTGCCTCAAATCACAGCCCAGCTCTTTATAGCTTCATGTAACCCTGGGCATGTTCTCTGAGCCTTGAGCTGATGTTTTCAGCTTACTTCAGGGGTTGTAAAGATAATTAATTGAAGTGGTGAATAATTAATTGGTCCTGGTGAAGTCCTAAACATGATTTCTAGCACATAGTAAATAATGACTAATATAACTCTTTTTTTTTACCATATAATTTGCATCTGTTAATCCCAAATTCCCAATCCTTCCCTCCACAACTACCCCTTCCCCTTGGAAAACACAAATCTGTTTTCTATGTCTGTGATTCTGTTTCATAGATACATTCATTTTTGTCATATTTTAGAACCCACATGTAAGTGGTAATCATACAGTTTGTTTCTTTCTGACTTCGCTTACTATGATAATCACTAGGTCCATCCATGCTGCATTTCAATTCTTTTGTTTATGGCTGAGTAAATATTCCATTGTATATATGTACCATGTATTTTTTATCCATTCTCCTATTGATGGACATTTAGGTTTTTTCCATGTCTTGGCTATTTTTAAAGAGAACTACCATGAATACAGAAGTGCATGTAAATTATAGTTTTTTCTGGATATATGCCAAGAGTGGAATTGCCAGATCTTATGATTACTCTATTTTTAGTTTTTTAAGAAACCTCCATGCTGTTTTCCATAGTGGCTGTACCAGCTTACATCCCTACCAGCACTATAAGAGGGTTCCCTTTTCTCTACACCCTCTGCAACATTTGTTATTTGTAGACTTTAATGATGGCCATTCTGACTGGTGTGAGATGGTACCTCACTGTAGTTTTGATTTACATTTCTCTAAAAATTAGCAATGATGTATCTTGTCATATGCCTGTTCACCATCTGTGTCTTCTTTAGAGATATATCTACTTAGGTCTTCTGCCCATTTCTTGATTGGGTTGTTTGGTTTTTTGTTATTGAGTTGTATGAGCTGTTGGTATATTTTGGAAACTAAACCACTGTTGGTCACATCATTTGCAAATATATTCTCCCTGTTTTTTTTGTTTGTTTGTTTGTTTGTTTATGATTTCCTTTGCTGTACAGAAGCTTATAAATTTGATTAAGTCCTGTTGGTTTAGTTTTGCTTTTATTTCTAATGCCTTAGGAGACTGACCTAAGAAAACATTGGTACAATTTATGTCAGAGAATGTTTTGCCTATGTTCTCTTCTATGAGTTTTATGGTGTCATGTCTTATATTTAAGTCTTTAAGTCATTTTGAGTTTGTTTTTGTGTTTGGTGAGAGGATGTGTTCTAACTTCACTGATTTACATGCAGCTGTACAGCTTTCCTAACACCACTTGCTGAAGAGATTGTCTTTTCTCCATTGTATATTCTTGCTTCCTTTGTTGAATATTAATTGACAGCGGGTGTGTGGGTTTTTCGTCGCTATTTCGGTCCATTGATCCATAGGTCTGTTTTTGTGCCAATACCATGCTGTTTTGATTGCTATAGCTTTATAGTATTGTCTCAAGTCTTGGGGGGTTATGCCTCCTGCTTTGTTCTTTTTCCTAAGGATTGCTTTGGCAGTTCTGTGTCTTTTTATGGTTCCATATAAATTTTAGAATCATTTGTTCTAGTTCTATGAAAAATGTCATGGTAATTTGGTAGGGATCACATTAAATCTGTAGTTTGCTTTGGGTAGTATGTCCATTTTAACAATATTAATTCTTCCAATCCAAGAGCATGGGATATCTTCTATTTTTTTGAATCATATTCAGTTTCATTTATTAATGTTTTATAGCTCTCAGCATATAAGTCTTTCACTTCCTTGGTAAGATTTACACCTAAGTATTTTATTTTTTGCTATGATTTTAAAAGGAATATTTTTTTACATTCTCTAATATTTCATTGTTAGTATAAAGAAATACAACTGATTTCTTTATGTTAATCTTATATCCTACTATCTTCCTGAATTCATTTATCTGTTCTAGTAGTTTTTATGTGGAGTCTTTAAAGTCTTCTATATGCAGCATCATGTCATCTGCATATAATGACAATTTTAATTTTTCCCTACCAATTTGAATACCTTTTACTTTTTTTTTTGTCTGATTGCTGTGTCTAGGACTTCAAATACTATGTTGAAGTGAAGTGGGGAGAGTGGGTATCTTTGTCTTCTTCCAGATTTTAGTGAAAAGGCTTTCATCTTTTCATCATTGAGTATTATACTGGCTATGGGCCTGTCATAAATAGCTTTTATTATGCTGAGATATGTTCCCTTTGGATCTACTTTGGTAAGAGTTTTTATCATAGATGGATGTTGAATTTTCTCAAATACTTTTTCTGCCTTTATTGAGATGATCATGTGTTGTCTTTTCTTTTGTTGATGTGGTATATCACATTAATTAATTTGCATATATTAAATCATCCTTATGACTCTGGGATGAATCCACCTTGGTTGTGGTGGTGTATGATCTTTATGTGTTGTTGAATTCAGTTTATTAATATGTTGTTAAGAATTTTTGCAACTATATTCATCAAAGATCGCCTATAATTTTCTTTTTCAGAAGTGTCTGGTGTGGTATCAAGGTGATGGTGGCTTCATAGAGTTTCTTTGGGAATGTACCTTTCTCTTCAGTCTTTTAGAAGAGTTTAGGAAAGATTGGTATAAGTTCTTCCTTGTATGTTTGGTAGAATTCACTTGTGAAGCTGTCTGGCCTTGGACTTTTGTTTGTAAGGAGTTTATAAATTACAGATTCTATTTTACTTCTAGTTATTGGTCTGTTCAAGTTATTTATTTCTTCTTGATTCAGTTTTGCTGGATTGTATGTTTCTAGAAAGTTGTCCATTTCTTCTAAGTTGTTGAATTTGTTGACCTATAATTGTTCCTAGTATTCTCTTACGGCCCTCATACCAAAAAAATTAAGTCCACACAGGCTACACAGGGATGCTCCCACATAAAAATGATCCTCGAAGACCACAGTAGATAGCTCTTTCTCCGAAATCCACAGAGTAAGAGAAATATAAGTAAAATGAAGCAGAGGAACCACTCCCAAATAAAAGATCAAGAGAATTCCCCTGAAAGAACCAACAATGAGACAGACTTCTTCAGTCTAATAGACACTGAAACAAGATAATGAAAATACTGAAGGAATTAAAAAGGACTATTCATAGTAATATAGGTTACTGTAAAAAGAGACTAGAAACTAGAAGGAGGAGCCAAGAAAAAGTAGAAAATTCACTTGCTGAAATGAAAGCTGAGCTAAAGGCAATGAATTGCAGAATAAATAATGCAGGAGAATTAATAAGTGATCTGGAAGATAGAATAATGGAAATCACCCTATCAGAACAGCAGACAGAAAACCAAATGAATTTAAAAAAAGAAAGAAAGCAATATAAGAGACCTATGGGATATTATAAAGGCAGGTCAGTCTATACATAATAGGGATCCCAGAAGGGGAAGAAAAAGAGAAGGGGGATTGAAAATATATTTGAAGAAATTATGCCTGAAAATGTCTCAAACCTAAAGAAAGAAGCATATCCTCCTGTGTACAGGAGGCACAGAAGGTCCCAAACTTGATAAACCCAAACAGACCTATATCAATAAATACTATAATAACAAATGGCAAAAGTTAAACATAAAGAGGGCAAGAGAATAAGGGGGTGATAGAGAATGAGATGGTTGGATGGCATCACTGACCCAATGGACATGAGTTCGAACAAACTGTGGGAAATAGTGAAGGATGGGGAAGCCTGGCATGCTGCAGTTCATGTGGTCGCAGAGTCAGACATGACTTAGCAACTGAATAACAACAAAATATAAAGAGAAGATACTAAAGGAAGCAAGAGAAAAACAAAGAGCTAATTATAAGGGAATCCCCATAAGGCTATCAGCTGATTTCTCTACAGAAACATTACAAGCCAGAATAGAATGACAAAGTCCTAAAACAGAAAAATCTGTAACCCAGGATACTCTACCTTCCAAGATTATCATTTAGAATTTTTCAGACGAGCAAAAACTAAAAGAAAACAGCAACCAACACTAAACCCAGCCTGTATTAAAAGGTCTTATCTAAATAGGAGAGAAGTAAGAATCAACAGAAAGATAAAACCACAATTGGAAAGTAAATCATTTAAATAAGCTGGGTGTTATTTAGTCGCAAAGTCATGTCCGACTCTTCTGCGATCTCATTGACTGTAGCCCTCCAGGCTCCTCTCTTCATGGATTTCCCAGGCAAGAATACTGGAGTGGGTTGCCATTTCCTTCTCTAGGGGATCTTCCCAACCCAGGGATTGAACCTGCATCTCATTCATTGGCAGGCAAATTTACCACTGAACCACCGGGTACACAGATATTTAAAAATTTCTGTGAAAGGGATGATAACCACAACAAACAGCTAAAGGGCAAACATGAAGATATAAAAGAGGACATCAAGATCATAAAATGTGGGGGACGAGCATAAGAAAATGTAGATTTTTTTTCCCCTAGAATGTGTTTGAGCCGTACAACTACCAGTCTAAGGCAAGCGGATATAGGAAGGGGGTTAGCATACATGAAACATAGGTTAACCACAAATCAAAAACATATAATAGATTTACAAAAACCGAAAAGAAGAGAACATAAGCATAATGCAAAAGAAAACATGAAACCCCAAAAGGAAAAAGAAAAAGAAAGGAACAAAGAAGAAATATAAAATCATGGAAAAACATGATTTAAAATAGCAATAAATACATTCCTATTAATAATTACTTTAAATGTCAATGGACTAGATGCTCAAATCAAAAGACATAGTAGCAGAAAGCATTAAAAAAAAGAGTCTAGAATATGCTGCCTACAAGAGACTCATTTTAGGGCAAATGATACACATAGATTGAAAGTGAGGGGATGGAAAAAACCATTTCAAGCAAATGGAAATGACAAGAAAGCAGGGGTTACAATATTCATGTCAGACAAAATAGACTTTAAGTCAAAGTCTATAGAGAGAGATAAAGAAGGATACTATATTATAATGAAAGGATCAGTACAAGGAGATGATATTACACTCATCAACATATATTCAGTCAGTATAGGAGCAACTAAATACATGAAACAAATACTAACAGACCTAAAGGGATAAATTGATGAGAATACAATAATAATAGGAGACTTTAGCACTTGACTCACATCAATGGACAGATCTTTGAGATAGAAAATCAGTAAAGCAACAGACAGCCAAAATGATACTAAATAATTGTTAGACTTAATTGATATTTTCAAGACATTACATCAAAAATAGCAGAATACACATTCTGTTCATGTGCACATGGAACGTCCTCTAGGATTGAGTGTGTGTGTGTATGTGTGTGTGTGTGTGTGTGTGTGTGTTCAGTCCTGTCCAGTTCTTTACAACCCCCTGGACTGTAGCCCACCAGACCCCTCTATCCATGGAATTTTCCAGGCAAGAATATAGGAGTGAGTTGCCATCCCCTTCTCCAGAGTATTTTCGCTTGAACCCACATCTCTTAAGTCTCTCGCATTAGCAGGCAGGTTCTTTACCACTAATGCCACCTGGGAAGCCCTTCAATGCCATGGTTAATTTATATATGTAAACTAATGTAAATAAATTCTTTCATTTGAGTATGCTGTGTTACATGTAGGTGTGGAATATTTGTAATTTCACAGGCTTATCTTTCTCCTTTGTAGTACTAATATATCACTTAAATATAATTTGCTGGTTTTAGTACTTTTGCAGTCCACATTTCAGATTTTTAATGTATTCACTAAAAGTTTGGATTGTATTATATTTTGAGTTCTAACAGGAATTCTCATGTCAGTTGTCACATAAATATATACTGAATTTTTAAATATTCTAATGCTATTTTTATTATACAACTATAAATTGAAATAATTATAAATTTCATTTTAAAAATTCATTGTTAGATGTCCAGTGACTTACAGAAAATAGACTGTAATATTTTTTTCTTTTTCTCCATAGGCTTGGGAAACAGTGAGACTAGAATACATGGAAGGTCCCACCATTATTGCTGCATATAGACAAAAGCTAACTAATTATTTTACCATGCAGCTAAGGTATTACAAACATCCATTTTGTTGTTCTTAGCTTATGCAACACACTGTACCTCTGTGTCCTTATTTTTTTCTTTCTTAGAATAACTTAATGTATAAAAATTTACTTATTACTTTAAAGGTTAAGTCCTCACCTGTTAATGCCAAAAGAATAAAATATAATTATGCAAGTCAGTCTTTTAATATTATGCTGAAGATTTAAGTTTAAGTGAAATCAATGCAGGATCATTTTATTATTTTTATTTTATTTTAGTTAAATAGTTTAAGTAGTTTAAAAATATGTGTGTGTCTGTAAATACCTGGGTGTGTACAGTTGTGTCCATTGATGGGATTTGTTTTGTTTTGTTTTGATAATTCAATTTGTGTCCATTGATGGTTTTTTTAATAGTTCAATACTTACTCTATAGATATAAGAAAATACCTATAGAGTTTGATCAGTGGTCCTGAATGTCACTTTATTTCCATAATTAGGTTCATCAAGTTTCTGATTTTTACCTAACTTTCTCAGTATCATTCATAGAGTCAGGGATTGGATATATATCAAATATATATCTCCTCCTTTAACATTTGCCAGTAGTCTTTGGAAGCAGTCTCATTGTGGGACAGTACTACTGAATGTTGTCCCTTCCCTTCTATTAGTCAGGACCGAGTGACTTGGAGGAGTGCAGATGAACTGCCTTGGCTTTTCCAGCAGCAGGGAAGTAAACAGAAGCTGCATGATTGTCTTCTTAACCTCTTTGTGTCTCAAAACCTCTATAAAAGGTAAAAAACTTATTTGTAGGACATCTTTCCCCAGAAAAACAGATTCAAACTGTTGTTCGGTGTAACAGGGGAAAATGGTATTCTTCATTTAAAAATTAGTCCACTTTCAGTGGTAACCGAAATAAAAAACAATGTGGGACAAATTTTAAACAGTTTGCAAATTGCCATGTCTACTTTTTCCAAGAGGTAAGCAAAAAAGCTGCTGTGCTGTGTTTAGTCGCTCAGTCGTGTCTGACTCTTTGCAACCTCATGGACTGTAGCCCACCAGGCTCCTCTGTCCATGGGGATGCCCCGGCAAGAATACTGAAGTGGGTTGCCATGCCTTCCTCCAGGGGATCTTCCCAACCCAGGGATCAAACCAAAGTCTCCCACATTGTAGGCAGATTCTTTACTTCTGTGCCACCAAGGAAGCCCAAACAAAAAAGATAAGAGTATTGTTTTTATAAAATCAGAACTGGAATGCTCTTGAGATAGCTTTGTATCTTAATCTTTCACTGAAGTAGGTTTAAATCCAGACCACCCAGAGAGGTGGTTCATGATGTCTACCTCTTAGGGCATCCAAGTATTTTAAAGTATAGCTTTCAAACCAGACTGTGGGCTCTCCATAGGATCTGACTGGTGTCAGAATTTAAAGAAAGAATTACCCTTTTTTTATAATAATCTTTTTTAAGTTTTTATTCTATCTTTTTGGCTGTACCACATGGCATGTGGGATCTTATTTCTCTTACCAGAGGTCAAACCCACACCCCGTGCAATGGAAGTGCCAAGCCTTAACCACTGGCCCACCAGGGAAATCGTTCATTTCTCATTGTTATCTCCTGGTGTGTCTGAATTTGCCTCTTGCAGCATCACCTTTTTATGAGTCAACCTTCTGACCTCTAAGCCCCACCTCTGTCTCACCTGGAAATTTAGACACTTCTCATAACTTAGCTGCATGATTTGTTTCGTTCCTTAATGATCTCTCTCAAATTTCTTTGTTGCAGCTCATAAATTATTTCTGATCTCCCTCCAGTGTTTCATGATTCAAATCATTCATCTGTAGATGGTATTAAGTAGGATGGAGAGCTGTGATTCATCCTTTAGTTTAACAGCTCTCCATCCTACTTAATACCATGTACCGATGAACAAGCTTACTTTTATCATCCCATTCCTTGATGAGAATACAAAGCAGGTATTCTGACAGCTTGCCTGTGCTTTGTTTCTTCTTTTCTTATTTCCGTCATTTAAAATAGTCTTGGGGTAAACTCAGCAGGATATCATAAGAAGTCTCAACAGGATTCTGATAGGGTTCCATTGGTGAATAACCACAATGGCGTTAACGGAAACAGCCAACACTATGGAGTACTTGCTGCAAGCCATAATCTCCTTAAAGCAACACTTGAAGCAGGTGATGTTGGGGTGCTCCTTCTGCAGTCAAGAATGACGAGGTGAGAGAGAACACAGTCAGAGTGCGGTGGACTCAGATGGCAGGCCCAGTTTACACCTTTACCTCACAACACTGGACTTGCCTCCTAATACACTGTCAGTAACCTGATAGGAATTTGTGGCATCTTCACTCAATAGTGGCGTTAAAGTTTCTTTTTCATTATATTACTGTTATTTGTTGAAACAGAGGACACTTTGCTGAGTTGCTGAGTTATTGGCAGTTTGTTGGCAAAGACAAAAGCGCGATGGCAGCAGAATACTTTGATTCATTGAAGCAGTATGAGAAAACCTGTGAAGGCGAAGAGAGCATGGTTTGCTTAGCTGACCTTTATGAAACCCTGGGGCGATTTCTCAAGGATCTAGGCCTTCTCAGTCAGGTAACTTCAGCAGGGAGTTAGAGACTGCATGGGTTTTCATGTTTACTCTTTTCTCCTTCCTAGGAATTGATGTAGCTTTCATTTGTTGTGCTAATCAGATGGCAAATCTTATAGGATTTCACTCATATTAATTGGTCTTTAACCATATTCTTCCCCAGGCTGTTGTGCCTTTACAGAGGTCTCTGGAGATTCGAGAAACAGCTTTAGATCCAGATCACCCACAAGTAGCTCAGTCTCTCCACCAGCTCGCAAGTGTGTATGTGCAGTGGAAGAAGTTTGGCAATGCAGAACAACTGTATAAACAGGCATTGGAAATCTCAGAAAATGCCTATGGTTCAGACCATCCACATATTGCTCGCGAACTTGAGGCACTTGCAACTTTGTACCAGAAACAAGATAAGTAAGATTTCAATTAGTAATTTTCTGGTTTTTTGACAGGGAATTACAGTTCTTAATGTACTTATGTGGGAGGCATTGTTTTGTGGCTGTGTACTTTTCTTTATCCTGTACTTTCCTTATCCTATATTCTTTTGAATCCACTATGTGCAAATATTATTCTTGGTCTGGGTCTTCATGGGGTAAACAGAAAATCAGAAGTGCAAGGTTCATCTCTGTTTCAAGATGTGTGGAGGACAGAGCATGGACTTTGGAGTCATAGAGCTGGATGTGAAAATGAGCTCCTTTGCTGACTGGCTTTGTAATATTGAGTATTACTAATACAGGGGGCAGCAAACCATCACCCACATGCCAAGTCTAGAAGGTCCCCTGTTTTGGACCTAAGGTTGTAGTGGAACACAGCCATAGTTTTTTTCATTTACATATTGTCTGTGGCTGCTTTCATGCTTCAGCAGTAGCTTTTTAGTTTCAACAGAGATCACAGAACCCACAAAGGCAAAAATGTTTACTGTCTAGCAGTTTAGACAAGTTTGATCCCCAATATAATACATTCTCTGAAAGGTATCTCTATCTGAAATAATTTCTTTTGCTCAATCATAAGTGACACATATTGGATTTTTTTCTTTTAACTTCCAGAAATATTGTTTCACACAGATTTTGTGACTTTCACATTTCTATGTGAGCAAAAATCAGCTAATATAGCAAACTAAAGTTTTGAATTTTCATTTAATTAGACTGCCTTTTAGAGATTACCTTTTAAACTCAAAATGAGTTTAATCAGCTGAAAAATAGTTAAATGTCAGCTAGATGGAAGACTTTTTCTCTTAGTTGCTAAGTCATGTTTGAGTCTTTTGTGATCCCATGGACTATATCTCTCCAGGCTCCTCTGTGCATGGGATTTTTCCAGACAAGAACACTGGAGTGGGCTGCCATTTTCTTCTCTAGGGATCCATTTTCCTTCTCCTGACTCAGGGATCGAACCTGCATCTCATGCATAGGCAGGCAGATTCTTTACCACTGAGTCCCACGGAAGCCCACTTGGAGGACTAGATTTATTAGATTTTGTTCTGTGAAAGTTTTTGTTTAAGATTTTTCATTCCATATGACTATCACTTCTGGAAATAATGTTGTATTTAATTAGCAAAAAAAGGCTTTACATTGGTGCTTTCATTTCACTGAAGTATGACACTTTGGACATGTTGCTTTCCTTTGACTTCCTTTTTTCTTTTTTAAGATATGAACAAGCTGAACATTTTAGGAAAAAATCGTTTAAAATTCGTCAGAAAGCTGCAAGGAGAAAAGGCAACTTGGTAACGAGAGATTTCTTTTGTGTTGTGTTTTGAACAAAAAGGAAAAGAACATCTCTGTATCATAATGTAGATGCCTAAACCTCACATATTTAAGAACTTTCGATTTTAAATTGATTTCTAGGGAAGTACTGATTAATATTTTCTGATTTAAAATGCATGTTTAAATATTAGTATCACTGAGAAGTACAAATTAGTATGTGTTTGAAAAGTGGAACTATGTATTTTGGTAATCATTTTACACTATATACATATGTCATATCATCATGTTGTACACTTTAAATTTACACAGTGTTACATGTCAATTATATCTCAGCAAAGCTGGGGAAATTATTTTTTAATTTTTAAAAAGTAGAACTATATAATTCAAAGATTAGATTTTAATGTGAAGCAATTATACTCCAATAAAAATTAATAAAAATGATAAAGGTTAGATTTTAGAAGATGAACTTAAAAGCTGTTTCAATTTTTTAAAGGGCTGGAAAAGAGAATAAAAGAAATTTAGTAAACATTTAATGTTACATTCAAATGCCAAGAAATTATCCTCGAGTGCAAAAAATGTTTCATTTTTCTAAGCTGCTGATAAAATAAATATAGCATATTTGTTTAACTTAAAATGCTATAGTCAGGTTTTTTATTATAATGTATTTGACATCTAACATTGTGTAAATATAAGATGTACAACATATTTATTTGATGCATTTATATATTAAAATATGATTACACCATAATGTCACATCACAAAATTATTTCTTTTTTGTGGTCAGAATAATTAATACCTAGTCTCTTAGCAAGTTTGATGATTATAATACAGTATTGTTACCATTATTCCCTATGCTATACATTTGATTTCCAGGACTTACTTGTCTATTAGTTGCAAGTGCTATGTGCAATTTTAAGTACCTGGTATTAAATGTTTAGTAATAGGGTTAATAAATATATGCACATTAATTCTGCTTCCTAATCTTTTTGATGCATTTAGGGATTCTGTTCATTTTGCTAAAATACCTCAGTCATTTTCACAAAATAGCTTTCGATGAATTTAAGAACGTGGTGTCACTGGGAAGTATGCATATTTTTTAATAATCGTTAGATTAATTCAGTATACTTAAAGTAATTGTAATCTACTTTAAAGGAAACAAAAGGAGAAAGGATTTTTTCAGAACCCTAGTATGTTGCTTCAGAATCAGATTGCACTTACTTGATGATTCTTGTGAATTTCTGTGTTTCTCCAGTATGGATTTTCCCTGTTACGTAGACGGGCCCTACAGTTAGAAGAGCTCACGTTAGGTAAGGATACACCTGACAATGCTCGGACCCTCAATGAACTGGGTGTGCTGTACTATCTTCAGAACAACCTGGAGTGAGTACCATACTGTTAATATTGAAAACAGGTATTCATTTCATCTCTTAGATGCAAAGCTGTTTTACATTTCTATCAAGCCAAGCTAGAAAAAATTGACAGAAACCATGCGAAGTTTCATGTATGGTATGTTATGAACATGGCCACATTTAACAAAAACCATGACAATTTCTCCACTGTTTCCTTTCACATTGTTTCTTTAGTAACTAAAAGGATATTCTTTAGTTTCCTTAGTATTTTATATGTTTATAACAAGTGAGTTTGTGTAGATAGTGTACAAAAGATCTCACATAAGAACAAACTTGGGGCCGAGGGAAAATGAAGAAAAGAATGTAGATGGCTGCTAATTTTATTCTTCAGTTTATTTTGGGCATAGACTCAAAAAGAGTCTTTTATGAAAAATGGGTGTTTGGGGACTTCTTTGTATGTCAGCAACAAACAATAGACTTGACGTGTTAGATATCAGAAAAATACAAATATTTAGCTCGCTTCACAAAGGAGCAAGGTCTGCTGTTTGCTGTGGTACTCAGGCTTCTCATAGTGGTGGCTCCTCCTGTTGCAGAGCCTGGGCTCCAGGGCGCGTGGGCTTCAATAGCTGTAGCACACAGGCTCAGCAGCTGCGGCTCCCAGGCTCTACATCACGGGCTCAGTAGTTTTGGCCCACGGGCATATGTAATCTTCCCAGACCAGGAATTGAACACGTGTCCCCTGTACTGGCTGGCAGATTCTTATCCACCGCACTATCAGGAAGGTCCCCCAAAGGGTTCCTTCATTAAAAATTATTTAGTACTAGGGAGCTCCCTTGCAGCCTGGTGGTTAGGATTTGGCTCTTTCACTGTGGAGGCCCGGGTTCTACCCCTGGTCAGGGAACCATCTTGCATGGCACAATGCAGCCAAAATACAAAAAAAAAAAAAAAAAACCCAACCAGATTTAGTACTAACTCCAAAGGGAGGGAGAAGGAAAGAATACCAAAATCTTTTGAGTTTGGCTTAGTTATTTTTAAGGTATAAAAAGTTTGTTTTGGAAACTGTTTATGAGTATGTCTTTTAGGAGAAGTGAAGTGGAGAATTGAGACAATCATCCAGATACTTTTGGTTCTCACACTACCAGGAAGCCATATTTAATTTTTGGAAAAGGGCAGAAAGAGATGAGGGCTGGGAAAGGGGATTTTGAGCTGAATCCTTCATTTTAACTATCTTGGATTTAAGAATAAAAGTACTTCAGTTCTCTTCCTAACTAGGACTAGGGTTCTGACTTCTAGAGAATAGTTTAAACCATCTGGGTCTTTTGTTCATAGAACAGCTGAGCAGTTTCTGAAGCGTTCCTTGGAGATGAGGGAGAGAGTTCTAGGACCAGATCACCCTGACTGTGCCCAGTCTTTGAATAATCTGGCAGCTCTATGCAATGAAAAGAAACAGTATGACAAAGCAGAAGAACTTTATGAAAGAGCCTTAGACATTCGGAGACGAGCATTAGCTCCTGATCACCCTTCTTTGGCTTATACGGTAAAGCATCTTGCGATCTTATACAAGAAAATGGTAAGTAATCCAGAGCATGCCTACATGTATTTTATAATATTCCAGTTAAGCCATAATTGCTGTAAGCAAAATAATTTATCTTCCGATGGATAGGTTATTTTCTATGAGCTTTTAAATCCCAGAGGAATCGGGTGGAGAGGGAGGTGGGAGGGGGGATCGGGATGGGGAATACATGTAAATCCATGGCTGATTCATGTCAATGTATGACAAAAACCACCACAATATTGTAAAGTAATTAGCCTCCAACTAGTAAAAATAAATGGAAAAATAAATAAATAAATAAATAAAATTGATTTCATTTCAGACAATTAAGGTACTAGTTTTTAAAAATACATTCTAAATACAAATGCATTTGTCAGCACTCTAACTAGAACTTTTTCTTCTTTTACATTTCAGAAGTTCTTTTTTTTTTTTTTCCATTTATTTTTATTCATTGGAAGCTCATTACTTTACAATATTGTAGTGGTTTTTGCCATACATTGACATGAATCAGCCATGGATTTACATGTGTTCCCCATCCTGCTCCCCCCTCCTGCCTCCCTCTCCATCCCATCCCTCTGGGTCTTCCCAGTGCACCAGCCCTGAGCACCCATCTCATGCATCCAACCTGGGCTGGTGATCTGTTTCACCCTTGATTGTATACTTGTTTCAATGCTGTTCTCTCTGAACATCCCACCCTCACCTTCTCCCACAGAGTCTAAAAGTCTGTTCTGTACATCTGTGTCTCTTTTTCTGTTTTGCATATAAAGATATCGTTACCATCTTTTTAAATTCCATATATATGCATTAGTATACTGTATTGGTCTTTATCTTTCTGGCTTACTTCACTCTGTATAATGGGCTCCAGTTTCATCCATCTCATTAGAACTGATTCAAATGAATTCTTTTTAATGGCTGAGTACTATTCCATAGTGTATATGTACCAAAGCTTTCTTATCCATTCATCTGCTGATGGGCATCTAGGTTGCTTCCATGTCCTGGCTATTATAAACAGTGCTGCAATGAACATTGGGGTACACGTGTCTCTTTCAGATCTGGTTTCCTTGGTGTGTATGCCCAGGAGTGGGATTGCTGGGTCATATGGCAGTTCTATTTCCAGTTTTTAAAGGAATCTCCACACTCTTCTCCATAGTGGCTGTACTAGTTTGCATTCCCACCAACAGTTGTAAGAGGGTTCCCTTTTCTCCACATCCTCTCCAGCATTTATTGCTTGTAGACTTTTGGATAGCAGCCATTCTGACTGGCGTGTAATGGTACCTCATTTTGGTTTTGATTTGCATTTCTCTGATAATGAGTGATGTTGAGCATCTTTTCATGTGTTTGTGAGCCATCTGTATGTTTTCTTTGGAGAAATGTCTGTTTAGATCTTTGGCCCATTTATTTTTTTTTTTTGATTGGGTCATTTATTTTTCTGGAATTGAGCTGCACGAGTTGCTTGTGTATTTTTGAGATAAATCCTTTGTCTGTTGCTTCGTTTGCTATTATTTTCTCCCATTCTGAAGGCTGTCTTTTCACCTTGCTTATAGTTTCCTTTGTTGTGCAAAAGCTTTTAAGTTTCATTATGTCCCATTTGTTTATTTTTGCTTTTATTTCCGATAATCTGGGAGGTGGGTCATAGAGGATCCTGCTGTGATTTATGTCGGAGAGTGTTTTGCCTATGTTCTCCTCTAGGAGTTTTATAGTTTCTGGTCTTATATTTAAATCTTTAATCCATTTTGAGTTTATTTTTGTGTATGGTGTTAGAAAGTGTTCTAGTTTCAGTCTTTTACAGGTGGTTGACCAGTTTTCCCAGCACCACTTGTTAAAGAGGTTGTCTTTTTTCAATTGTATATCCTTGCCTCCTCTGTCGAAGATAAGGTGCCCATAGTTATGTGGATTTATCTCTGGGCTTTCTATTTTGTTCCATTGATCTATATTTCTGTCTTTGTGCCAGTACCATACTGTCTTGATGACTGTGGCTTTGTAGTAGAGCCTGAAGTCAGGCAGGTTGATTCCTCCAGTTCCATTCTTCTTTCTCAAGATTGCTTTGGCTATTTGAGGTTTTTTGTATTTCCATACAAATTGTGAAATTATTTGTTCTAGTTCTGTGAAGAATACCATTGGTAGCTTGATAGGGGTTGCACTGAATCTATAGATTGCTTTGGGTAGTATAGTCATTTTGACAATATTGATTCTTCCAATCCATGAACATGGTATATTTCTCCATCAATTTATGTCCTCTTTGATTTCTTTCATGAGTGTTTTTATAGTTTTCTATGTATAGGTCTTTCATTTCTTTAGGTAGATATACTCCTAAGTATTTTATTCTTTTTGTTGCAATGGTGAATGGTATTGTTTCTTTAATTTCTCTTTCTGTTTTCTCATTGTTAGTGTATAGGAATGCAAGGGATTTCTGTGTGTTAATTTTATATCCTGCAACATTACTGTATTCATTGATTAGCTCTAGTAATTTTCTGGTAGAGTCTTTAAGGTTTTCTATGTAGAGGATCATGTCATCTGCAAACAGTGAGAGTTTCACTTCTTCTTTTCCTATCTGGATTCCTTTTATTTCTTTTTCTGCTCTGATTGCTGTGGCCAAAACTTCCAAAACTATATTGAATAGTAGTGGTGAGAGTGAGCACCCTTGTTTTGTTCCTGATTTTAGGGGAAATGCTTTCAATTTCTCACATTGAGGATAATGTTTGCTGTGGGTTTGTCATATATAGCTTTTATTATGTTGAGGTATGTTCCTTCTATGCCTGCTTTCTGGAGAGTTTTAATCATAAATGGATGTTGAATTTTGTCAAAGGCTTTCTCTGCATCTATTGAGATAATCATATGGTTTTTACCTTTCAATTTGTTAATGTGGTGTATTACATTGATTGATTTGCGGATATTAAAGAATCCTTGCATTCCTGGGATAAAGCCCACTGGGTCATGGTGTACGCTTTTTTTAATATGTTGTTGGATTCTGTTTGCTAGAATTTTGTTAAGGATTTTTGCATCTATGTTCATCAGTGATATTGGCCTGTAGTTTCCTTTTTTTGTGGCATCTTTGTCTGGTTTTGGAATTAGGGTGATGGTGGCCTCATAGAATGAGTTTGGAAGTTTATCTTCTGCAATTTTCTAAGAGTTTGAGGAAGATAGGTGTTAGCTCTTCTCTAAATTTTTGGTAGAATTCAGCTGTGAAGCCATCTGGTCCTGGGCTTTTGTTTGCTGGAAGATTTCTGATTACAGTTTCGATTTCCTTGCTTGTGATGGGTCTGTTAAGATCTTCTATTTCTTCCTGGTTCAGTTTTGGAAAGTTACACTTTTCTATGAATTTGTCCATTTCTTCCAAGTTGTCCATTTTATTGGCATAGAGCTGCTGCTGGTAGTAGTCACTTATGATCCTTTGTATTTCACTGTTGTCTGTTGTGATCTCCATTTTCATTTCTAATTTTGTTGATTTGGTTCTTCTCCCTTTGTTTCTTGATGAGTCTGGCTAACGGTTTGTCAATTTTGTTTATCTTTTCAAAAAACCAACTTTTAGCTTTGTTGATTTTTGCTATGGTCTCTTGTTTCTTTTGCATTTATTTCTGCCATAATTTTTAAGATTTCTTTCCTTCTGCTAACCCTGGGGTCTTCATTTCTTCCTTCGCTAGCTGCTTTAGGTGTAGAGCTAGGTTATTTATTTGACTTTTTTCTTGTTTCTTCAGGTAAGCCTGTAATGCTATGACCTTCCCCTTAGCACTGCTTTTCTAGTGTCCCATAGGTTTTGGGTTGTTGTGTTTTCATTTTCATTTGTTTCTATGCATATTTTGATTTCTTTTTTTATTTCTTCTATGGTTTGTTGGTTATTCAGAAGCATGTTACTTAGCCTCCATATGTTTGAATTTTTAATAGTTTTTTTCCTTCAATTGAGATCTAGTCTTACTGCATTGCGGTCAGAAAAGATTATTTCAATTTTTTTGAATTTGCCAAGGCTAGATTTATGGCCTAGGATGTGATCTATTCTGGAGAAGGTTTCGTGTGCACTTGAGAAAAAGGTGAAATTGATTGTTTTGGGGTGAAATGTCCTATAGATATCAATTAGGTCTAGCTGGTCCATTGTGTCATTTAAAGTTTGTGTTTCCTTGTTAATTTTCTGTTTAGTTGATCTATTCATAGGTGTGAGTGGGGTATTAAAGTCTCCCACTATTGTGTTAATTGTTAATTTCCCCTTTCATACTCGTTAGCATTTGCCTTACATATTGCAGTGCTCATATGTTGGGTGCATATATATTTATAATTGTTATATCTTCTTCTTGGATTGATCCTTTGATCATTATGTAGTGTCCTTCTTTGTCTCTTTTCACAACCTTTATTTTAAAGTCTATTTTATCTGATATGAGTATTGCGACTCCTGCTTTCTTTTGGTCTCCATTTGCGTGAAATATTTTTTTCCAGCCCTTCACTTTCAGTCGTATGTGTCCCTTGTTTTGTGTGGGTCTCTTGTAGACAGCAGAAGTTCTAAAATTCAACCAGTATTAAGTTTTCTGTGTAGGCTACCACGGACATAACAAATCACTCAATTGTCAGGACTGAAGAAGTCTTCATAGCTAATGAAATGACCATTTTAATTTCACTTTTTCTTTTCTTTGCTTGCAATTAAATGTAACCATTCTTTACCACAGAGTTCTAACCTAAGCAATATTTGGAGTTTTTATAGCTGTCTTTAAAACAAACGAAAATCAGGAAAAAAAAAACCTGTTCTCATTTAGTGCGGTTACAGAGTTGTACAGACTTTGTGGGACTGTTGCTAACCCTCCTACTACTGAAGTTGATGTTTCAGTATAAAGGATCCATTGTTGCTATTTCTACCTAAATTTCAAGTAAAAAAGAAATAATCAGAAAAATTTGGAAAGGATTTGGTGGAAAATGAGTTTTAAAATGAAAACTTTGATGCTATCTCTAAACTATGTATAGTAGCAAACATACTTTATAACTGGCATATGTTTACAACATCAGAAAGTTATAATGGGTGATCCTAAAGAACTTTCTGAGTTATCAGAGAAAATGTTCTTATATTCTATATGGTTTTACTTACATATTTTATTAGATTTCAGATATCCATAAACTTATCCATTAAACTGGGAGGAAATATTTCTGAACTTTTTTCACCAAAATTACTTTTTACCACAAAACTGTATTTATGGAACAAGCTCTGATCATAAAGTATTTATTGCTTTAATATTTTTGTTAGATTTCACTTTTGTGTTTTAGGGTAAACTTGACAAAGCTGTACCTTTGTATGAGCTGGCTGTTGAAATCCGGCAGAAATCCTTTGGCCCACAGCACCCAAGTGTAGCTACTGCCTTGGTGAACTTAGCTGTTCTTTATAGCCAAATGGTAAGTTCCCATAATGTAATGCTTTATAAATGAATAGTTTTAACATATGGAATATAGGTAAACATGTATTAGATATAGGTAAACATGTATTAGATATGACACAGTAAAAATAATTAAAGGACATTTAAGGTTATCTACTAACGTTCCCTTTAATACTTGAGAAATTATTAGTTACAATTGTAAGACAGTCCCTTCTTCTTAGTGTGAAATACTGTGTTTAGTTCATTGCATAGGCTTATTTATTTCTGGAGACTCCCTACATCTCTTTATCTAATATTGTTCCTAAGATGTATCATTTACTTATGATGAGTAAGAGATGTGGTACCCTGGGGTACCACAAACAAGTTTGTCCTTATATAATTGGATTAATGTTAGTTGTTACCAAGGCAGGTCTAAAACTTAATTTTCTAAATTTTATTATACTACTTCTTTAATTATGATTACTCCTAAATTAATCAGTTTATCTACATCTTGTAGGAGGATATTAACTCTTTTAAAGCACTTAGCCAAGTAGGTCAGCTCAGTCTAGAATACCTCAAAAGTAATTTCAGAAACCCAATGTGTTCAAATGAGCATTGTTTCTTTTTTTATAAGAAAAAACACAGTGAGGCCTTGCCGTTATATGAACGAGCATTAAAGATTTATGAGGACAGCCTGGGTCGGATGCATCCTCGAGTTGGAGAAACACTAAAAAATTTAGCTGTGCTTAGGTAAGAAGTTTTCACTTTCCTCATACAGCCAAAAACCCTTTTATGACATCTTTGAGTCATCATAGAACCCCACAAAATAATTATTGCTGATACGTTTTTATTGGAACAGAGGGGTTATTTTTGGCTTATCTAGTTCAAGAGACATTGAAATAGTATCCAAAAGTGAAATTGAAGGTAGCACAACCTAGTTTGTCGAGGAGAGTATCATGGTAAATAAGGATGGATTACATTTGCAGCTAACTGGGCTCTGGTGGTAATCTGGGCAATTTGCTATCCTCAAAGTGAATTTATCATGTTGACTTTTACATTATATTTACCTCAGAATGCTAACTTCCTTAAGCAGTCTCACTGCACCCATTACAATGTAGTCTTAATGGTGCCCCTATTAAGACACTCGGCAGCAGACAAAAAGGAGAAGAACTTGGGGATTCTGTTTTATTGGTTTGCCTGAAAATGGACTTTTCTTGCAGAGTATAATTTACAAACTGAAAGTTAAAATATAAAGTAAGATCATTTCTTAGGCAAAACACTAAGCCTAGAAATGATCCACAGACTCTTTCCAGGTAATGGGTCAAGCTGCCTCTTGCATGTCACTGTGGGAACATTCACCATTTCACAATGGACAGAAAACCTGGCTGTAGGGTTTTACAGAAGGTGAGGTGGAGAGCACAATGATGTTTAGTAAGTCTCCACACTTTTGGGTAGATTTCAGGTGGATTTCTTTTTTCACTTATTTATATTTTGTCATATGGTTACATGACTAGCAATTGGCTGAAATAATCTTGGAAATTCTGTGATAGTTGGCATTTTAGAAAATTCTGAAACTATTCAACAAATATAACTTTTTCTATATAAAAAACTAATAATTAAAAACCTCCAGTTTTTCAATCTTCAGCTTGGAAAAAAGAACACTTTTTTTTTTTTGTATTTCTGTTTTTCTTGTTTTTCTGTATCCTGTAAGATCATTTAGAATTGTTAAAAGGTTATCTTCTCATTTTGAGAATTTTTTTCTCCCAAAGCTATGAAGAAGGGGATTTTGAAAAAGCTGCTGAACTATACAAAAGGGCAATGGAAATAAAAGAAGCAGAAACGTCACTTTTGGGTGGAAAAGCTCCTTCCCAACACTCATCAAGTGGAGATACATTTAGCTTAAAAACAACCCATTCTCCTAATCTTTTCCTTCATCAAGGACAAAGGTGATAGCAGCAACTACAATTCATTGGAAATGCACCTTAGGATAAAATATTTAAGAAACATTTGGAACTTCAGAATTTAAAATTTATAAAAACTGTTAAGAAAATTTAATTTTACTTTGTGTGATTTAACTGATTATTTGTATGACATTGGACTACACTGAAGTTTGAGTCATGATTATTTCAACTTTATTTGTTTGAAAGAATTAGCTTTCCTATTGTGTGGGAACCAATATAGACACCTTGGAATCCTAAGATGACATGAAGTGTTGATCATGGAGAGTAGACTGTGGTCTCTGTTCTGTAAGAGCAGTTATAACTCTTTATTAGCAGTTAAGACAAGGAGTTCAAGAATTCCATGATTCTTATCTCTCAAAATCTACTTTAGCCTCACCATTTCTCATCTTGCTATTCAGTAGCAGTCAGGCCCAGTTGTCTACCTCAAAGAAAAGTTTCAGAATAAAGGGATAATGTTTATGGAACTATGAACTGTCTTCTGCAAAATGAACTAGTATTGGGAATCTCTGTCTGCTACATTTCTTTTATTCTAACTTTTCCTTGAGCAGATATGGCTAAGCCCACTGTTTTCTGTGCTTTCTACATTGTATATTGTTTTTACTGTGTAGAATGTACTTGCACAATCATTACTTCGTCAACAAAGGTCCATCTAGTCAAGGCTATGGTTTTTCCAGTGGTCATGTATGGATGTGAGAGTTGGACTGTAAAGAAAGCTAAGCACTGAAGAATTGATGCTTTTGACTGTGGTGTTGGAGAAGAACCTTGAGAGTCCCTTGGACTGTAAGAAGATCTAACCAGTCCATCCTAAAGGAGATCAGTCCTGGGTGTTCATTGGAAGGACTGATGCTGAAGCTGAAACTCCAATACTTTGGCCACTTGATGCGAAGAGCTGACTCACTGGAAAAGACCTTGATGCTGGGAAAGATTGAGGGCAGGAGGAGAAGGGGACGACAGAGGATGAGATGGTTGGATGGCATCACTGACTCAATGGACGTGGGTTTGGGTGGACTCCGGGAGTTGGTGATGGACAGGGAGGCCTGGTGTGCTGCAGTTCATGGGGTTGCAAAGAGTCAGACATGACTGAGCGACTGAACTGAAGTCTATATTGCAGTAACAAATCAAGCTCTTTGGCACTCTTAACTTTTCCCAAACTATGGACACAACCTTCCTCCGTAAGTGGCCTAAATCTACCTCTTCATTTGTCTTGAACTCAAATTAGCTGGCCATTTTATACTGAAAGTTAAATATTTTTATAGATTTTATAAATATTGCCAATCTGGGGTATTGTTTCATACCATTTATGTATTTATATATAATAAAATTTTCAATTTTAATACTTGTAAAATTCCAGCATGTATTAATTGTAAAGGTGAAAGATGTGATAACCATATTTTACTATTTTAAAATAAAGGTGAAATTTCAAGCTTTTTCCACTCCAGTTTATATCAAAGGATTATATTTACATAATTAAGAAAAATGTTGAACACTACAAAAAAAAGAATTAGCACTGTAGTTTGCTAATTCACTGAGTAGTTTGCTCAACTTGAGCTTCAGTGACTCCTTAGAATTTTGGTTAATGTTCTCTAAGGCTTGGCTACTCAAGGTGGTCTGTGGACCAGAATCATCAGTATTACCCTGGGAGCTTAGTAAAAATTCAGACAGGCTCTCCCCAGATCTACTGAATCAGAGTCTGCAATGTAGCTAGATTCTCAGGTGATTAATATGCACATAAGTTTGGGAAACAGTGGTCTAATTTTAAGGCACTAGAGTGGTGTTCATTGGAAGGACTGATGTTGAAGCTGAAACTCCAATACTTTGGCCACCTCATGTGAAGGGTTGACTCATTGGAAAAGACCCTGATGCTGGGAGGGATTGGGGGCAGGAGAAGAGGACAACAGAGGATCAGGTGGCTGGATGGCATCACTGACTCGATGGGCATGAGTTTGAGTAAACTCCGGGAGCTGGTGATGGACAGGGAGGCCTGGCGTGCTGTGATACATGGGGTCGCAAAGAGTCAGATACAACTAAGCGACCGAACTGAACTGAACTGAACTGAGAGTGGTGACTTAAAGTAAATGAGGTAGAATCTTACAAAATGAGCATCATTCTCCCTTCTGGCAGAAGTACAAGAGGGAAAAAAGAAGATAAACTACAACAAATAACACATATTTCTGGGTTTGCCAGCTATGAAAGGCACAAAGCAATTGAATTCACAAATATATCAGACACTGACTGATTTTAGAATTAACCTTTTAGAGTTTAAAATTTTATTATTTAGTGGTATAAGTAATTTAACACATCATAAATATTAAATTTAAATGCCTTAAACTTTAGAAAATAACCTGAGATTAATATCCTAGAAGAAGCCTGAAAAAAAGGAAAAACTAGCAAAAGGATAATATGCATTTTTCTTTGTTCCTACAAAATTTGGACTTGAAAAATACACAAAAAGTGAAAACTTACATTATTCAAAGTGACTTTATGGTAAGTTATTAATTATACTTGAGGAGTGATTATTTCAAAAGGTTTAAGTTTAAATATAGTTTTTAAGACTATATTTTGATCTTACTAATTACACTACCAACTCAAATGTTTTCATGTAGAATGCCTACTTAAAAAAATTAAAAAAATAGGGACTTCCCTGAGGTCTAGTGGTTGGGACTCCATGCTTCCACTACAGGAAGCACTATGATCCTATATGCCATGCTGCAAGGCCAAAAAAAGAGGTTCTCAAAAGGAATATTATGTGCACTTTAATATACACCTTTAACATGAAAAGCATAGGTTTCAAATAATTATAAATCTGAATTGGAAGGCTCTATAAAGTGTGGTAGTTATAATTAATTTTCATTCATTAATACTTTACAAAAAGAGAAATTCCAAAAAAAAACATGCGACAGGGGAAGTTAAAGCTTCATTAATATTCTTAAATATTTATTACATTTTTGGGTTGGTCAGTGTGTTTATAGGTTTTCAGGAAATAATATTTTTACATAAAAAAACTCATAATACTTTTTTTACTACATGAAACATTTGAATAGTACCACAAATTAACCTCCCGTTAAATTAAAAAGGGATTAAAGTTAAACATATTGTTTGTTTTACTCTAATTCAGAGCATTTGTGCTAAGGCAATTTTGGGAGTGTGTTTCCATCTTTCACACTTGAAGCAATAGTGTTACAAATCTGGTCAAACACTGGGTTTATTTAGTAATGTAAAATTCAATGATGCTTAATTTCTCATAGTCAGCTGTCTATGTATACAAATTTTACATGATACACAGACTGTCAAGAGAGCACTCTAGATTACAAAAAATATTTGTTACCAGATTTTTTCTGCTAAAATAATAACTTTAATGGAAGATATAAGAAAAAAATTAGATAAGATTTTATAAAATATAAGATACCAGCAGGGTACAAATTAAGAACAGAAAAGAAAATCTTTAGAAGATAGTAGGTTCTAATATGTATATGTATAACTGATTCACTTTGCTGCACACCTGAACATAAACACAACATTGTAAATCAACTATACATCAATAAAAATTTCTTTAAAACGATAGCAGGGTCTAGCTATTTATCAAACTATATAAACTTAAACTTGTAAGTATAGCCTTACCAAATTAATGTACCAAAGGAATGTTATTTAGAAAGACTGCATTTCTTTTCTGAAATTCAAAGCATCTCTAGGAACTAGAAAAGTTATTTTACAGATGAACATACTAAACTTTTAAATAACTTCAATGACCTACCAAGGCAACATAAATACGTTTCAAGACTAGAAAGCTATCCCCATACATCCTGACATTACTGTAAACATAAGAATCACAGTACTCTAAAATCTCAAAATCAATATATTAAACATATGTGATATTTGCAACTTTCTGAAATTAGTTTGTAGAATCTTATTTCATAAGTAGGAAAGGTACTTGTAATTTTTAAATTACATTTTCCCCTAGAGATAGAATTTAGAAATTCTCTCTTCAAAGCAAAAAAATCATCAAAATAGGAAACGAGCACAGTAACAGCCGACAGATAATGGTTACACACACACGTTCATTAGTCTCCAAACCATCACGGATTTACTTCAACCAAGGCTCTCTAAGCCTTCATTATTTGTATGCAAACTCCAGAGAAAAGCAGTTTATCAAATTACGATGATTAGGGAAAATGATACTCTTCCCTGTGAAGAAATACATGTCAGTCACTGCAGAGGTAATTTAGGCTTCATTTATTATCTGCTACCCAGGACAAGCTTTTGCTAGTACCTAATTACCCGGGGAATCAAATCTGAATAAAGTGAAGTATTAGAAGGTAGCCCATATAATGGGTATAATTTAGGTGATCTTAAGCCTAAATTTATCTTTTGCTCCTCAATAAAGCACACTGACTCAGATAGATGATATGCTTTTTCTTAGTGCAGAAATACAATTTGTATATCCTGAAAATATCTTTATTTATCTATCCATGAAGAAAGTTTCTTTTTATTTGCCTTTGTCTTGCTTAGATTATATATATCACAAGTTTACAAACTTTTCCAGTGCCTACATTTCAGCTTGTATTTCATGAGGAAACATTTGAGAGGATGTTTTTACTTTATAGGTTTACAACTGGAAATTCACTGTTGCTCAAGTTAGTAATAGTGGGCTTGTAGACAGCAATTCCAAACACAATGAGTATGTGCCTGCTGGCTATAATAAGCAACATGTTGTACCTCTTGTTCTTTCCCTATATTTGATCACACACTATTCTATCTATTGTCCATGGCCTCAAGCAACAGACTACAAAGGATTACAGGAAAGAAAAGAAATATACCAGCAAATTAGTCCTTTCTTCTCACCCCTCCCAAAAGGTCAAAACAGTTCAATGGCTCACCTACAATAATCCTTTGAAGTTCTCTTACTAGAATGAAACATGAGCTTTAAGAGAGCTTCTGATTTAGTTGAAGGATGGGAGCAACAAGCAATAGTCACAGAATTTCCAAAGAGTTAATAACAATTCAGTGAAGATTACACAACAACTGACGTTCCCCTAAGTTTTCTCAGTTTTTAAATGATTTTTTTAATTGCAAGGGAACAGGTTTAAACACAGGAAATAAAATATAGGCCAGTCCATTATTTACATGTTCTTCATCTTGGCCATAAGGTCTTCCAAGCTTTCTTCAGAATCTTCTACTGTTACTTCAGGTACAGAATCTTCTTGCTATCAATAAATGAGGGAAACATGGTGAAAAAATAATCAAAGTTCTTGATGCTTAGGAACATATCAGTAAGCTATAGTCATGTTAAAAAAAATTTACAAAGTAAACCTTCTTTAATAAATATGGCTTCTAATTTTTAGGAGAGATAAAGTCCTTTATTTTCTCCATCAGTCATTTGACTTACAAGGCAGTAATTTCAGTGTTCTTGAGCTCTCTACTGAACTGGTATTTTTAAATGGTATCATGGCTAAACTATCAATATACAGAAAAAGTAGTCATTTAATCAAAATCTATTTCACCAATCCATCAGTGAATGAACAAAACTATTTTATGTCTATATTTTCAAATAGTTTAAAATGTGCTGTGCATATTTACATGTTAACACTGAATACCTCTCTCACACAAATCTTAATGCCTAGAAGGTAAAATATCTAAAATAAGAAACACTGGCATTATAAAATAGGTTGAAGATGGAAGAATACAAATAGACATTTTCACTTATATCTTCTTATGGTAAATCAGATTTTAGATGTACCTTTTGGGGAATTGTATATGCCACTGTAATTCCTTTAGGTAAGTCAGGGATTGGACCTGAAGAATTTTTCAGTTCCTCTTCTGAAATCTCAGATACCAACTCAATACCTGTAAAGTTAAACTTAATCTTAAAACCACTTTCAAGGAACTTAATGAGCAATAATCATTCAAAACTTGTATAATCTTAATTATAATTAGATTCCCTCCCATAAAAGAATGTTTTTTGCTGCCATTTCAATTTATAAAACAATTCCTACCCCATTCATTGTCTTCATGTATTATCTCTCCTTCTTCTTGAATAACCTCCTGTTTGGGCAGTGCTGCTACCTTTTTCTGTAGAAATCAAACAGTTTCAGTGTTTCTACTCATTCTCAGTTCTCTGAAGCATCATTCAGAATTGATCAGAATCAAGAGTTCAGACAGACTTTTTCTAAGGTTTACATACAGAGACCTTACGGAATACATAGAGACCCTGCATATATGTACAACTAATCATCAGGAAAATGTGAATGAAAACCACAATGAGATAACACTTGTGAGAATGACTACCATCAAAAAGAAAACAAATAACAAATGTAAGCAAGGATGTGGAAAAAAGGGAAACCTTGTGCACTGTTAGCATGATTGTAAACTGGTGCAATCACTGGAAAACAGTATGGAGGTGTCTCAAAAAATTAAAAACACAACTACCATGTGATCTAGCAATTTCACTTCTGGGTTTTTGGTTTTTTTATGAAAACAAAAACACTCAAAAGATATATAATCCAATGTTCATTGCAGCATAATTTATAACAGCCAAAACATGAAAGCAACCTAAATGTCTATCAACAGATAACTGGATAAAGAAGGTGTGGAACATATATACAATGGAATATGACTCAGCCATAAAAAAATTTACTATTCGCAACATGGATGGAACTAAAAGGCATTATGCTAAATGAAATAAGTCAGACAACCAAAGATAAATACCATATAATCTCATTTAAATAAAGGATCTAAAAACAAACAAAAGGAAAACAGACTCATAGATACAGAGAACAAATAATGTTGCCATAGGAGAGGTGGGGGTGCAAAATAAGTGAAGTGAACAAAAAGGTCTAAACCTATAATTATATAATAAGTCACAGAAATACAATTTACAGCACAGGGAATATAGTCAATAATATTTTAATAACTTTGTATAGGAAGAGATGATAACTAGACTTATCATGGTGATCATTTGACAATGTATGCAAATGTCAAATCATTACATGGTACACCTGAAACTAGCATAATACTGTATGTCAACCATATTTTAGCTTAAAAAATTAAAATTTAAAAACAGAGTTCAGACAGGCCTTTTATCTTACAAAAAATAAGAAAGGACTTTGAACAAAATTTTCATTTTTAAAGCATGATGAATAAATTAGAACTTTAAAAATCCAGAATCCATTTACCTTGTATTCCAAATCTAAATAATTATTTATTTTTTTAAAGTTTTTGTCCTATGCAATATGATCTCTCATGCATTGTGACACATTGACATATACCTTGTATTCCTTCTGCTGCTTCCTACAGTTTCTGTCATCACACTGAGGATTTGGCTTCATGGACATAGTAGGGAAAAAATCCTGCATTGCGTTGTATCCAAGGTAAAAACTAACAGTACCAAAATTTAACAGAAACCTAGAAAAACAAAGCAGACTTAAATAAAGAAACAAAACCATAAAAATATTAGAAAAAATGGATCCTTTTTTAAAAATTATTTTGAAGGTAATGATTTTTGTAACAAGAACCCAGAAAACAATTTTTTTATCTTGTTCATAGGGCCTGGCTTATAGTAGATTTTCTTGAATTAAACAACAGAATGCACTATTATTTTTTGAACCTGTAATAAAGATAAAATGCTGCCAATTAAACTATGACACGTCAACAACATTAAGAAGCATATTAATTTCAGAGATGTTCAAATGTGAGATATCAAAGATATCTTAAAAACATCTTTGAGATATGGTTCTAAATCTCATTTTTAAAAGCTTTTTATATATGACACTGCAAAGTTTGCTATCTTAAATTTGTATTAAATCTCAATAAAATTTTACAGAAGTATTCACTCATGTAATAATCACTACCAGATCAAAATGTAGTTGGCCCTCCATACCTATGGGGAATTGATTCCGTAACACCCCCACCTCAGGGTAACAAAATTAAGTCCTGCATAATATTTTCATATAACCTGTGCACATCCTTCCATATACTTTAAATGATCCTGATGGCTCACACAGTAAAGAATCTGCCTGCAATGCAGGACACCAGGGTTCAACTCCTTGGTTAGGAAGATTTTCTGGAGAAGGGAATGGCTACCCACTTCAGTACTCTTGCCTGGAGAAATCCATGGACAGAAGCAGGCTACAGTCCATAGAGTCACAAAGAGGCTGACATGACTGAGCAACTAAGCACTGAGCACTCTCACTTAGATTACTTACAATACCTAATATAATGTAAACGCTATGTAAGAAAGTGAAAGTGAAAGTGAAGTCACACAGTCGTGTCCGACTCTTTGCGACCCCATGGACTGTAGCCTACCAGGTTCCTCCGTCCATGGGATTTTCCAGGCAAGAATACTGGAGTGGGTTGCCACTGAAATAGTTGTAAATACAATACAAATACTATATAAACAGTTAACAGCTTGTGGCAATTCACATTTTGCTGTTTGGAACTTCATGGATTTTTTTTTTGGATCCACAACTGGTTGATTCTGCAGATGCAGAACCCAAGGAAATAAAGGACCAGCTGTATAGTGCATTTCCAGTATGCCACAAAGCACCCTTGCTCCCTTACATTTAAATCTGATTCCTTTTTTTTTTAAGTTTTTATTTATTTATTTATTTTTGGCTACCCTGGGCCTTCATTGCCACACACTGGCTTTTCTCCAGTTCAGTGTGCAGGCTTCTTATTGCAGTGGCTTCTCTTGTTGCAGTACATGGGCCCTAGAGCACTCAAGACTTCAGTAGTTGGGGCATGTAAGCCCAGTAGTTGAGGCATGTGGGGCCTAGAGTACAGGCTAAGTAGTTTTGGCACATGGGCTCAGTTGCCTCTTGGCTTCCCAGAGCAGGAATTGAACCTGTGTCCCCTGCATTGGCAAGGGTATTCTTAACCACTGGACCACTGGGGAAGTCCCTGATTCCTTTTAGAAGCTTGTAAGTAGAGGAAAAATCATGTACAAACATAAACAACAAAAGGAAAAAAATTGAAAAAAATGCATAGTCTCAACATACAACAAAGACAAAAAAACCAGAGAGAGAACAAGATGTCAGAGCAGAAGGTGGACATGGACTACATCTTTCTCCATGGATACATCAGGAATATATTTTCAGACACACAAGTGCATGCACACCAGCTGAGAGTGGACAGGAGTACCAGACCAGCAGAAAAGAATATACAGAACCATGCAAAACTTGGCAGGATGAAGGAAATAGGGGGGAAAACAGGAGTGGTACTAGGACTGGACCTGCCCTCGGAGGGTGGGGGAACTGAAGCAGGGTTCTGATTTCTACATCAGGGCAATTTTCTGAGTCAGAGGAGAAATATTTAAGGCTCAGAGTGAAACAGCTGATCTGTGGCAACCTAAATGCAATGAGAATCAGAAGTCCTTGCCACAGCCATATGTACCCCAGACAGGGAAGCAGGTCCCCTAGAAGGTGCAGCAGCTGGGAGCTGGAGCTTAGGGATTGTGGAGCAATCCCCAGGTGAGGGCTGCTGTTCACTGCAGAAAGATGGACCGAGGGGATGTGAGGGAGGAGATTGTGGTGGGAAATGACGGTGGAGGAAAGCCAGGCAGCCATGGAAGCAAGTCAATACTGCTAAGTCAAACAAGGGGGTGTAGCCATCACCACAGCCTCTCTCTCCACACATGCCAACATGAGCAGCTGAACAACAGAGAGACTGGCCTATCAAGCACCTGACACACCCAACTGCAGACCAGGACCCCACCCAGGGCACTCCTTTAAGTGCCTGATGCATGGAACTACAGAGTAGGACCCCACCCAGGGTGCCTGTTTAAGTGCCTGACACGCCCATCTACAGAGTAGGACCTCAGCCAGGGGGGCCTTCTATGTGCCTGACACGCTGAACAACAAAGAAATACCCCAAGAGGGAGCCCTCTAAGGGCCTGAACAGGTGGAGCTATAGACAAAGACTAGCCAAAGAGGCTTCTGATTGCCAGCTACCAGAGGCTCAAAAGAAGACTCTGATAGGGCCATAACTCCTGCGGCTGAGGCAGTCCGTGTCCCTGCAGACTTGGCACTGCCAGGGTCCCAGTGACCCAAGCAGCTGTGCCACCTTCACGTTCAACCTTCACTGAGGGAGAGCTGCCACATGCAAAAAAAAAAAAGTCTTCCCATCTATGCACATGGGGTCGCTTCCCACTGTGTCCAATTCGTTGTGACCTTGTGGACTGTGGCCTGCCAGGCTTCTCTGTCAGGGGGGCATTCCCCAGGCAAGAATACTGGAGTGTATTGGCCATTACTGGTGTCCATACCCTTCTAAAGCACTGTATTTCCTGCTGCCATAGCTGCCAACTCCTCTGAGTACCTGGTGCTGCCAGAAACCCTGCGACCTAAGCAGCTGCACCACTTCCACAACTGGCCCTCACAGGGGCAGACCCAAGTCCTCCAGGCTCAGAAGCAAACCCCACTGGATGACCCACATACAGAGGTGGAAATAAAACCACAGATGAAAACCAGGGGCTATATATATATATATATATATATATATATATATAGTCCCAGTATAGCTAAGGAAGAAGACCCAAAACCTTCCCACCAGCTGTACAAACTGCAGATTAAACCCACATGATCAACTAGGCAGACTTTGCGTCTACGGAATATATAAAAGGACACTGAGAGCTCCCACAAAAGAAAACACACTAATTCTGATAGCTGTGGACAAAGGAGGCAAGAATACACAGAAGACCAGATCAGAATCTGACCTGCCCCAACAGCAGGTCCAGAGACCAGCAGTGTCAGAAGGTACCCTAGGGGGGTGAGGTGGACTGTGACTCCCAGTGAGGGAAAGGACCCTGACAGAAGTGATTCAAGAAAAACATTTATTATTCTTATGTTTTGACTTCTTCTGTAGTTTCTTTTGGATTTTTCTTTTTTTCCTCCCACCTCTGCTGCACTTGTTGATTTTAATGGCACTATGAAATCTAATTAAGCTTTTGACGTTTTTTTTTTTCCAATCACACTTTTTGTTGTTATAAACCTCTGCCTCTATGTTGGGCTTTTGCAGTTCTGTGGAGTTTTCCTTTTTTCTTCCTTTCCTCTACCTTTTTTTCTTTTCTAATTTTAATTTTTAACTTTTGAAAACACATTTTTTCTACATTTATTCCTTTGTTTGCTTTTCCTACTGTTCTTTTCCTCTTGCAGTTGATCTTTAATGTATATAAATCTTCTTTCTAAAGCTCTATTTAACTTTTCATATCTATTCGTTTTTTCTTTTCTTTCTTTCCTTTCCTGGGAACATATTTGCTAGTTTTGTTTTCATTGCTTTATTTCTCACTAGGAACCTTACTTTAGTTTTGTTTTCCAGTTTGTGTTTTAGTTAGTTTTGTTCTTAACTGGTAGATATAACTTTTGCATTGCTCTGTTCACCATGTCAATCTACTGTACTTTATTTCTGTTTGACTGTTTTGATTTTGTTTATGGATGAATATGCGTATGTGTATATTCCATTGTTTTCATTATTATTTGCCTGATTTTGTGACTGCCATTTGTCTAGGGTTCATCTTTGGTTGCTCATTTTTGGCTATTTATTGCAATCTCACACATAATGCCATAACAAGCCACTGTGGAACCTTTGTTCCTGACCAGAGATCAAGCCCTGAGCCTTTGGAGTGGGAGCACTGACTCCAAGACCCTAGACTACTGGAGAACTAACGCTAGGGAGTATCAAATAGTGAGAACTCACACAAAGGAAACCACTTGAATACAAGACCAGGTATCACCTAACCACCAGTAGCATCCTGTGCAGGATGCCTCATTCAAGCAACAAACAAAACAAAAATACAAACCCAACTGTCAGCAGACAGGATTACCACCTATTCAACCTTGCTAATCAGAAGAAACACACACACAAAAATCAGTACAAATCTCACCCTATACGAAGCTTACACAAACCACTGGACCAAGGGCAGAAGCCAAAAGAAGAAAGAATTGAATCTTGAAGCCTGGGAAAAGGAGACCTCAAACACAATAAATTAAAACTAAATAATAACGTAAAGGTAGAGAAATACTGCACAAAAAGAGGGAACAAGCTAGAAACAGTTCAGTTCAGTTCAGTTGCTCAGTCGTGTCTGACTCTTTGCGACCCCATGAATCGCAGCACGCCAGGCCTCCCTGTCCATCACCAGCTCCCGGAATTTACTCAAACTCATGCCTATCAAGTCGGTGATGCCATCCAGCCATCTCATCCTCTGTCGTCCCCTTCTCCTCCTGCCCCCAATCCCTCCCAGCATCAGGGTCTTTTCCACTGAGTCAACTCTTTGCATGAGGTGGCCAAAGTATTGGAGTTTCAGCTTCAGCATCAGTCCTTCCAATGAACACCCAGGACTGATCTCCTTTAGGATGGACTGGATGGATCTCCTTGCAGTCCAAGGGACTCTCAAGAGTCTTCTCCAACACCAC